TTCTGTTCAGTTTTTGAATTCGAATATGTTGATGAAATCTATAATTTAATTAAATATAATTAATTAAAAATAAACAAACACAAACTATTGAATCATTTCTTGAATATTGTAAATCATCATAAGAATTATCAATATTATTATCATTTGAACAAGATGCAACATGATCTTCATATTCGGATTGATCAATATCTTTCGAACATAAAATACAACGTTTTCTTCTATTCATTTTTGAATTTGTTCCTTTTTCAATCTTTCGTTCCATCTATTTGTTTTTAAAATAAAATATAAAAATAAGAATTAAAAAAAAATATATATTTATTTTTTAACTTCGATTTCAAGTCGAACTTATTTTTGCTATTTTATATTAATTTTAACTATTAAAATATCTCAAACTAATCTATTTTATGTTCTATAACAAGTCTAATTATTCGTTTTAGAACTGTTCAACAATTTTTTCGTATATAATCACTAACGAGGGAAGGTCACCAACTGTTCAGTCGCTTTTGCATTGAAACTACTTGCATTCTGTAGTTCCCAAAGAGTTATGAATACGCTGAAAATATTTTGGGCGGATAGCTTATTGTTACGAAAATAGGTCATTTGTAAGATTTTTTTTAATGATTGCCGTACTCCCCCTCGGGAATATTAGAAAAATTGATTTTCGAATTTTGACTTAGAACTTTACATAGAAATACATCTCAACGAGGGTAGTGTTTTGAGATCATTTTTGTTCATTGAATTTGTTTCCTTCGTCAAATCTACTACTTTATTTGAAAGATGGAGAACAAAAATTTCACAATAGCTGTGTCCAGTGATAGAAACGCTGGAAAGATCTGACACGTTCAGCAAAAGTTGTTCTTCTAGGAGCGTCTTTCTATGTAAAGTTTCAAGTCAAAATTCGAAAATGAATATTTTTAATGTTCCTGAGGAGGGGTCCAGGCACTCATTAAAACCTATACCTGACAAATGGCCTAAATTCGTACCAATGAGTTATCCGCCCAAAATATTTTCAGCGTATTCATAACTCTTTGGGAACTACATAATGCAAGTAGTTTCAAAGCTAAAGCGATTGAACAGTTGGTGACCTTCCCTCGTAAGAACAACAATTATTTATGATTTATATTGAAAATTACTTGTATTGAAGTGTTTTGTTTTTGATTGTATTTATTATTATTTGAATAATTGTCATTGTTTGAACAAGATGATATATGATTTTTATAATCTGATTGATCGATATGTTGTAAACATGAAACACATTGTTTTGTTTGGTTTTTATTTGAATTAATTCTTTGATTTTGATCATTCTAATTATTTAAAATAATAATTAAATATTATACTTAAAAAAAAATCAAACTTGTGAAGTAAATGATGTTGAATATGGTTTTTCATTTGAATATTTGGTCGGTTTCATAAATGAAGATGTATTATCAATTGAACAAGATGCAACATGATCTTCATAATCTGATTGATCAATATCTTTCGAACATAAAACACAACGTTTTGTTCGTTTTTTCTTTAAAGTATTTAGTTCTTTTACAGAATTTTTATCGATCTAATAATTTATAAATGAATAATTAATAAAATTTAAATTAAAAAAACATATTTACTTGTGACGAATATATATTCTCATTTGACTTTTTATTATGATTATCTGGTCGATTTTCATCAGCTGAACAATATGATACATGATCTTCATAATCTGATTGATCAATATCTTTCGAACATAAAATACAATATTTCGTTGGTTTTTTATTTGAGACAACTCTTTGATTATTTGTTTTCTAATTATTTAGAGAAAAAATAAATAGAAAACAAAAAAAAACAAGTAAAAATCAAAATATTACTTCTATTGAAGTGTTTTCTTGTTGAACGTCTTGATCATTTGAAGAATAACCATCAATTGAACAAGATGATATATGGTTCTCATAATCTGATTGATCAATATCTTTTGAACATAAAACACAATGTTTTTTTTGCTCGTTTTTTAAAGAAATCATTCCTATTGAGGCTTCTGTTAGAGTCTATTATGTATTATTTAAATATCAACTGAGTTAAGAAACAAAAATCAAATAAAACCTGTGTTGGCGTTGATGCTCTTGGTGTTGAGTATCCATTATCATTATTCTCACATGATTGACAATGTGAATTTAATTCGTCGAGAATATTTCCACAATTGGGACAGTTTTTCTTGTTTGGTAATGTATCTTCTTGTTGATTACAGGTTGCAACATGTTGTGAATGTTGTTTAATAGGTATTTGTTTGTTACATAAGACACATAATTTATAGTCAGTTAATGATCGAGGTCGACAATTAAGTATATGATGACGAATATGTTTATCAGATATAAGATCTTGACATGCTACACATCGACTATAACCGGGAAAATGACTTCTTTCCATAAATAATTATTGTAAATAATTTAAACGATTGAAAATTTTAATTGTTTTAATAAAATAAATTTGATATTGAAAGAATTAAAATAACGATAAAAATATTTATTGTTTTCTTTTTATTTGGATTTCAAATGGGTGATGCAAGTAGGAAAAAAGTCAATCGATGAATGACTGAATGAATGATAAATATCTTAACAGCCACTGGTTCTCAGTCGATGACAAACTAGCTTGTACATCGAAGATGTCGCATATTTATTATAATTTTTTAAAAATAATATTGATTTGATTTAATTCATATTCATATTGTATTCAATTAAAAATAAAAATCATTGTTTTTCTGAAAAATAAAATATTTATCGAAGAATTGATATATACAACAAGACTTTTGAGATTGATTCAATTGAATCGAAATTGATTTTTCTCGAATCTTAATTTAATTTTTTCTAAATACAAGGTGGCGCAAAAGTCACTTTACCGAAAAACAAAAATTTGGATATCTCCACTAGGGTTCGAGCAAACGAACTGATTTTTTATCAATGATAAAGGCATCCTTAAGCTTTATATTCATAAAGACATACCTAGAGAGATCCTTTGTTAAGTATCACTATTGATCTCAACAAAAAAATTTTTACTTTCTCATAGCTAGGATAAAAAAACAATATACTTAGCAAAAGATCTCTTTAGGCATATTTTTATGAATATAAAGCTTGACGATGCCTCTATCATTGATAAAAAAATCAACTCGTTTGCTCGAGCTATACTGGAGATATTCAATTTTTTTCAGTAAAGTGGCTTTCGCAACATCCTGTATATTGTTTTTTTCATCCTATCTGTGATAAAGTAAAATTTTTTTGTTAAGGTCAATAGTAATACTTAACAAAGGATCTCTCTAGGCATGTCTTTATGAATATAAAGCTTAAGCTTGCCTCTATCATTGATAAAAAAGTCAGCTCGTTTGTTTGAACCCTAGTGGAGATATCCAATTTTTTGTTTTTCGGTAAAGTGACTTATGTGCCACCCTGTATAAATCTATATTCAACTAAATTCTATATTGATTCGGTTGAGAGTTCGTTTAAAATGATGATCTGCACAGGTAAGATAGAGCCTAAAGAATATTTTCTTTTTTTCAAAACTCACCATAGAAAACTTATTCTTTAACAATCAAATAGTTTTATCTGATGTTTAGGTTTTTTTTTGTTTTTTGATAATGTCTATAACGTCGTTGACGTATAAAAGATCAGAAAATGAATTCAATGTAACAGATATTATTTTGTCAATAAAAACCGTATTAGATATACAATCAATTAATGAACAAAGATAATATAACATTTTTTATTTACTTACAGATGACAAGAGAAAGACAATATATTATTGAAGATAAATAGTAAAAAGTGATTTAGTAATAAATTAGAACTTTTATAAGACTAGTCTAGTAAATAAGAAACAAATGTCAGTTATCGACTGACTTATATAATTGTTATTGTGTCTAAAAGTAGTTTATCATTTGTTTTCAATTGATAATTTTGTTAATGTTGTTTATGCTTGTCGTGTGAGATTTAAATAGATTTAACCTATAGTTTATCTGTTACTAGAATCAGGACTGATTTTCTGATGGACTTCTATAGATAATTCTATGAGATGTTAATAGAAAAAAAAACATAAAGTTCTCTTTAATTGTCTACTATCGAAAGAAAAATATTTCTAAAGATCAAACAAAGGCATTAGATGAAGACAAACAAGAACGACTAATAGTCTATTCATAAAAAAAATTTCACATTGCAACTGATCACTTTCTTATATTGTGTTTTCATACAATAAAAACGACAAATTCATATGTTTACAATGGTTATGTCGAAGTTAAATAGGTGTTAACATTATTTTAATATTTATTCTCTATGATATAAATAGATTTATTTATAATTAAATAATAAATAAATCGAAGTTACTTAACTACTAGCTTACTGACAAAAGAGTTGCTATATGAATGATTTGATATTAAAAATGTTATCTCATTATTTGATGATGAAACTTCTCAATAGACATGTGTTTATATCTATTCGATTTTATTTATATTAAACAACTAGTTTATATAGAGTTTAGTATCGTTTCTTTTTTTTTTATTTAGTCATAAATAATATAATCGAACAGATGATATTATTGACTGTAATTATCAAGAATTTGTTTTTTTAAATTTTTCTTAAAACTAAATATTCAATATTGAATGTTTCATTTTTTTTTTGTTTTACTATTTAAATTGAAATAAATGAAATATTGAATGATTTAAATAAATTTATATTATTGATTATAAATTCATTGAATTCAATAATGAACTCCATATGTAACTAAACAGTTTTTTTTTATTCGTTTCTTTTTTATGTCGTAGATTTAAATGATAATGTATACATATATAAAAGTAAATATAATATATAATGATTTCATATTGATATATACAATAAAATAATGTTTGTTAATGTAGGTGAAGATTTGCAAAGAATAGTCAATATATAAATAATAACTAAAAATGATAAATGATTATCATTTTTAAAATAGATTCGACGAACAAGAGAAGGAAAAAAAAGCACAACGTCTTACATAAAAAGTTGATAATGATTGTATTAATGTATGTATCTGTTTTAATATTAATGACAAGAGCTGAACAAAATTTCTCATTAAAATTATTAAATTCTTGTTCATCAAATTTATCTTGTATTCATGGAATATGTTATACAGATCAAAATATATCATCATGTTTATGTGAACGTGGTTGGACATTATCTCAATCTCAACCTCAAATTTGTATTTATCAACAAAAATCAAAATTAGCTGCATTTCTTCTATCATTTTTTGTTGGTGGATTTGGTGCTGATTGGTTTTATTTAAGTGTTGGAAATGGTGGTTATATTGCAGCTGGAGTTTTTAAAATGTTAACTTTAGGTGGAATTGGAATTTGGTGGCTTGTTGATTGGATGAGAATATTAACAAATTCATTTCTTGATGGACAAGGTGTTGCTCTACTGGAATGGTCTCCATGAAAATTAATTAAACGACAAAAAACTTTTCATTTTATTTTATTCGTTTTTCTTTTTTTTTTGTATTGTATAACAAATGTTTGTGTTTGATCCAAGGTTATTATTTGTCTTAGAAACAAATGATTGATTTCGAACAGTTGCTAAAATAAATCGAACATATTTAAACGTGAAATAAAATGAATGAAAGTTGAACAAAATTCATAGTAGAAAGAGAACAATGAAGATGATTATGATCACTATCTTATCTATTTTACTTTTAAGTGAAGGTGTCGAGTTTTTTTTTAATCGATATCACATAAGGTATTTATTGTGTTGTTTTTTTTTTTTTGTTCAGCTCAATATATCGATGATCAATTGAATAATGATATAACATCAACAATGAATTCTTTTATTTTAACAAAACAAACAGAAAATGCATCAGTTAAAGATGAAGATAAAACTATATTAATAGAGTCATCGACTGAATACATATTTGATAAATTAAATCAAAATGAAACCAGTTCATCAATGAGTTTAAATCATTTAACCGATATTATAACATCAACAATCAATAGTGATACATCATTATCAACATATATTCTATCATCTATCAATGATTTTCAATATACAACACATAGAAATGATATTTTATATAGAAAAGAACAATGGTTTAATTATAATCAAACAAATCAAAAAGATTCTTATGATTATTCGATATTTTGGAGAAAAATACATGGTAAAAAAAAGAACGTTTTTTGTTTTTTCTTAAATAAAATTTGTCTATAAAAAACTAAAGATGAATCATTGGATAGTTCAACTTATATACTAAAATCTGAAGGTGAATGTGTTGATCGTATGTGTTATGTTAAATTGAAATATAATGGTTCATTATCAAATAATAATGATGGTTGTTTATCATTTATTCTTTGGACACGAGGTCAACCAGGTAAAAGTTTGTTTGTTTGTGTTTTTTGTTAAAATATATTATTGATTTTATTTCAGTTGGACAATTATGGATTGAAGAAGATGAAGAACAAGAAAATATTTCACAAAAAATTCAATTAACGAATTCAAGTTTACGTATTGAACATTCATTAAAACCAAAAACAAAAAATGTAAAGAATAAATTTTTATTAGGAAAACAAATTAAATAACTAATTTGAAAATTTCTAGTTATCAATTGATGCTCGAATATTATTTCGAAATTCGAATACTGATTCAATAACTTTATCTAATTTAAATGTTAATTGGAAAGGATCTTGTCCAAAGCATAATTCAAGTAATCATTTTATATTTATTCATTTTATATCATTTATATATATATATATTCATAGTGACAGCATATCCTTATATAAATATCGATACATCGACATTAGAATATGAATTAACAACATTGACCAATTATGATCTATCTGAAACAAGTTTTTTACCAACAACTGATAGATTTGAAATAAGTGAAGATTATTTATTCATTGAATCATCAACAATTATATTTAATGAGAAATTAAAAAATCAACGTTCATATTCATTAGTTAATCAATCGAATATTCGATGGATTTTAACATTAATTATATTATTTTGTTTATTTATTATTCTACTTTCATTTCTATATGGTTTATGGTCAATACAAGAATATTATCGTTTTACTTGGTATGTTCATTTTAATTATCCAATTCAATTAATTAGTCGACGATCAATTCATTCATCAACAAGATCAGAATGTGAAATTGAAAGATTTTCCTCAATATCCAATGATATTTTTCATATAGATTATCAACAAGAGGATTTTGATAGTTTGACAATGAATAGTAGTCAATCAATACCATCACCAACTCATGCTTATTTTTAATTTTCATTATCTTTAATATTAATTAAATGTTAAACGAAATTTTCAATATCAATATTATTATAATAAACTTTTTTCTTTTCTTTTTGCATCATTAAATAAATAAACATTGCTTTTTTTTTCAATTAACATTGGATTGAAATTGACTAAAAAGAAGATAAATAAATAAAAATGATTTTATATTTGATTAAAATTTGAAAAATTCATTTTTTTTTTCAATGTTTATTATTGTCGAAAAAGATCAAATGTTTCATATCGTTTGTCAAATCGGTAAGCATAAGTTCAATCAAACGAGATCATCGATTGGTTTTTTCATTTGATTCAACTTGCAAGACAAATGATAAGTCGAAAAGTTTTACCGTAGCTTTGTAAACACTTAGTTTGATATACCGTTAAGAACAGAATGTAAGAGAGTCAAGTGTAATGTCAAAATGAATTATAAAATGATCTAATACATTCGTTTTCAATGTTATTAAAAGTTTTCGAAGACTCACGAACGATTCGCTGCGAAGAAAATCGCTAATGATTTGATCATTTTAAAATATTAAAAATCAATAATCAAAGATCTACATGATTTGAAATCTATAGTAACGATAGAAATTCATGCAAATATCGAAAAAAAGGCGGTGCAAATTGTTGGTCGCACTGGAAAAAGTCTAACTTTTGAATTGTTGCCAAAGTATTACCTTTTCTAGACTGTTAAGGAATTTGACCTTTACGAATCAAAACTTACTAATCTACTATTCCAAATACAAAAAGAAGTTTTGATTAAGCTAGGTCAATAGCGGAATTGTTCGTATTTTTTAAGTGATCATGACTTTTGGGACATTCTGTATTATTTATTGATTATTCATTTTCAATGATTAATAAAAATGAAAGCTTTACTCGATCCAATCCAATTGTTTATTTTAATGTTTTGTTATAGACAGAAAAATCTAAACTCTTTTAAAATGTTTAATGATTTGTTATTTAAAATATCTAAGATAAACAATTTTTATAAGAATAATATAAATATTAATTTTTTCTTCTTATTATTATGTACATATCGTTTACCTTTAGTTGAATAATGATCTTCGATAAAAATGAATTGATTATAAAGAAATTTCTACAAGATCTAAAAAAAAGTTTATGTTCAAGTTGTATTATTTTTAATCAATTAATAGAATTTAATTAGACTACAATAATCAAATTTTAATATTCGATGGTAAATATTTAATATATGATTGAAAATTTCTGATCAATACTGATAAATAATCAAAACTAAAGTTGATCATATTTTATTGATGAATTTTATATTTTGAGAAAGATTTCGATAAATATATACATAATAAATACTTCTTAAAATGCTTAGATTATATTGACAAAGTCAAAGATCATATTTTATTTTGCTATTAAAATTGTGTCAATATTTAAATCTAATCATTAAATCGAAATACGAAAGAGAATTCGAAGAGTTTAGTGGCAAAGATTAAATCTGTCTTTGAATAACTAAATTATTCGTTTGAACAATTTTGAAATTATATTCTTTGCTTTAAAAAAATCAAAAAGTATAAATAAACTTGAAGAATGGAATCAACAACAAAAAAAATTGATAATATAATTATTTTAATTGCTTAATAATTAATGTTTCTCTAATAATTTCTAGATATAAATATTTTCATTATGATCATTTTCTTTTCTATTCATTTATTTTTGTAGATTGATTAAATATAAAAAATAAAATGAATCATAAATATTTTATTAGGTAGTTTACAGATGGAAATAAATTTTTTTTTATTTACAAAGAACGCTGAGATTCATCATGGAAAAAAAGCGTGTGATAAATTTTGAATGATTAATTATAAGAATTATTTAAAAGATCTTGTTGTTCGTCTGTTGAGAAAGAAATATTTTGTGTTCTATATCGTTTTAAAGTAATTAAATATAAAATAATAATTAAAATTAATGAAGTTAATTTAATAATAATCGCTGTACCAAATAATGTAAATGGAAGTTTACTTCCATTATAAATAAAACATGAACCACGTCGATGAAACGTTGATTCTGACCAATATAGACATTGATTATCAATGATTATTCCAAATAAAATTGGTGTTGGAATTTGTGCTACAATTTTCATAATACAATTTTGTAAACCTAAACTAAATGATTGAAGTTCATGTCGAACGGAACGTAATACAAGTATTAATTGTGGTGTTGCCATTAATGTTTCAAAAAATGTTACAAGAAATAATATTAATAGAAATAAAATTGTTTCTAATAAACAAAATTTTTTACATGAACCTGCAGAAACATTATCTCCCAATGGTAAACATGTACAATTTGAATATTCCTAAATTAAATATTTATTTAATAATTAAAAAAATAAAATAAAAAGTTATCTTACTGTTCCATTAACAGTTGTACAACCGGCATAACATGGAGAAAGAAAAGTAATTTGTTGTTGAAAACATACTGGTTGATAAATATAAGGAGAACAATTACAAAATTGTGAACATTGATTATCACTTTCATATTTTATATTTGATTTACATTTAATAAAAATAAGTGATATAAGAAAAATTAAAGATAAAGAACAAGATATTAGAATAAATTGAATACATTGAAATATATTCATATGATAACGACGAATTAAATATCCTCCTGTTATTGTTCCACACACAGCTGCTGGAACAACAATTGAACCAGTTAATATACTTGATATTGATGATGAGATATTAAATACTGATTCAATATATTTAACCATAAATATTGTGAATGATACAACAAGAATCTATTGAAGTTTATTATTATTATTATTTTTTTTTTAATTTTTAGTATTTTAAACTTACGTTTTCTACTGAATTAATCAAAATAATTAACATATATGTTAAATTTTTAACAAGATCCATCATACTATTGAATATTTCTATGAAAAACAAAAGATAAAATAAATATATAATTTAGGAAAAAAAAAGAACTTTTAATATTTGATAATTGACATAATGATTTAATTTGATAATTTTCTATTGAAGATTGATTATGATCATAAACTGATTGATTTGATTCAATTATCTCATTATTATTTTGTTGAAGATGAGAAGGAAATGTAAAAAGAACAATTGAAAATAATATTAATAAACAAGATGATAAAATAAATCCTGCCCACCAACGTCCAATCCATTGAGGATCATTTTTTGTTATTCCATCGAGATTTTTATCATCACCAATATTTATCCATTGAGAGAGAAATAGAGAACCCATTAAAAAACCAATAGCAGGTCCTAATGCTGCCATTCCATATAATATACCTACAATATTGATAATTCAATCTTAAAAATTTACAAGAAATTTTTATTGATTTTGCTTTTTTCAACGAAACAATTTTATTTTCCAAGTTTAAATCACATTTAATAACTTTTCCTAGTTAATTATTTAAGTTAATATTCATATTTAAACCAAAAATCTTCTGTAGAACAATGCCGAAAAAAAGTCTTGAAGAATAGTAACAAACTCATCAAGAAAAGTCTTTAATTATTCTATGTGATCTTCTTCAATAAAATTTTTATTTTTAAACTCGACTTCATATGAGTATCATATAGTATAAAATCTTATTTATACATTGCTTTATTCTTTTATTATAGTTTAAAAAAACAAAGTCGATCAAATTTTTTACATTTAAGAAAATAATGCAATAGAAAATCGTTCAAAACTCATGAAAAAAAATCAATTAATTAATAACAGTTGAATCAAACTTCAAATTTGACATAAGATAAGACGATATGTGTTTTACTAGAGGATCTATGAGATTAACATAGTGATTATGTATAACAAATTAATTTTAAGATCTAATAGAACTATTCTCAGCTCATTTTTTAATCTTTTCTACTGTGAAAAATCAAAAAATAAATTGAGAAAGAAAAAGAAACTGTCGTCTTCTGCATTTATCATCTATAAAAATCTTCTATTATTATATTGAAAAAAGTCATTCAAATGTCATTATTATGTTTTATCACTGTTCTTATTAACCGATGAGTTTCATTTATGAACATTGAAATCTTTGAAAAATTTTTAGATTTTCTTATTTACAAAAAAAGAAATTTCAAAGTTAAACATTTTATTTTAACTTGAAGATTTGAATATTCGAAGGAGAACTTAATCAAATTTGATAAGATCATAAATGAATGTATTATATATTAAGAATTCCATATAATTATACGTAAACTAAACAAAACGATTAATAATTGATTTGTTAATAAACACTATGATAATGTTAGAAGAAACACAAATGCAAAACTTTTTTTTTCATTATTATACAAGACAAAAATAAATATCTGCAATAAACTCAATCATTAAAAATTATTTTTCATAAGACCAAAGTTAAAACTTAGTGTTAAATTATCGTGACAAACAACAGTTATACATGTTATTTTCATTAAAAATTTTCTTACATCATCTTTCGTTTTTACTTTTTCCATCTAATTATTAAAGCAAAAAAAAATTTTCTCAATAAAATAATTCAATATAAACATACTTGTATAAATCGGTTGATCATCTTTATTAAGATGATCAGTTAAAAATGTTATTCCTAATGTATAAAAAGGACTTGCACCAATAGACATTATAATCATTGATACAATAATTATATAATAAGTCCATGTTGGTTGACTTTCAATTATATTATTTGAAATTTTATTATTAATTGAATTTGGTATTAAATAATTAAATATTGAATTAGATGATAATATATAAATATTTTCTGAATGATTTGTTAAATTTTGTGAACATAAATAATCTGATGTTTCATTTGTTGAATTATCAATAATTGATTTATGATAACCATTTATAAAATAAGGTAAAATAAAAAGAATATTTCCAATTGAAAATAGAAAAGCTCCTAAAGCAACAATTTTTGCTCGATTATATTGTGAACCAATATATGATACTAATGGTATTGATAGAACACCAATTATATCATAACTACTAAATGCTATTCCTAAACGTTCAGTGGAAAATCCATAATAAGTTTCTATTGATGATACTATTGAACCTATATAACCAGATGTTATCATTGATTGACATAAGACAATTAAACATAGGAACAATAAATACGATCGAATCGTCCAAAAATGACATTTTCTAAATTTATAAAAAACAAACAAAAAAATATTTTTTATTTTTTTGTTGTATTTTTACCTTTTATCATTTCTATTAGTTATTTCTGTATCATTCTCAGGCATTTTTATTAATTTTTTTTTATTCACATCGAATAAGTTATCTGTCTTTAATACTGTTTGGTAGCAAATCAAATGAAATATATTAATCGCTAGCGTATGATCAGAGAAACTAAACATGTTTCTTTCTTGCGATTATTAGTAGGTGCACTTTCCACCAGTGACATCTATATGAAATCTTAGTACAATGAATAGATGCAGAATATTTTTACTTCATATAGTCGAAAACTAAAAAAAAAGAAACAATTATCATATGATCACTAGGAGCATTGAGATATTCTTGTCATTTTGGCAAGATTCACTTCGGTGAACAACATTCTAGACAGCAGCAGCATTTCATTTCTAATAATACAAAGCAGAAGCAATGTCGATATATAAGCTGTTTTACATTTTAGACACAACAGAAGAATGTTTGCAGTACATTTTGCTAAATCAAATAACACTTTTGTTCAAGATGGCTATATGTATTTTTTTTTAACGGAAAAATATTAAAGGAACTCGGCCATTTCCCTCCCCCCCCCGCTAGATTTTTTTTCTTTTAAATATTTTTTGATTGGGACTCATGTGAGGATATTAGATCAATCAATCAAATCTTGGACATTTCTAGTTTTGGTGAAAAAATTAATGCTCAAAAGTTAGGATCATTTTAAAAAATTACTGACCCTGCTCTTATAGTATTATTAATATCTCTTCTATAGTTGCACTAATAGTCACCAAAGTTTTACTGCATATATAGCTGATGTCTCGCTACAAAATAAGATTAAGATCATCTTAATTAATTACTTTACTCATGAAGACCAGCTAACGCAAAAATTTTTTCGAAAAACAGCTATTTTGCAATGCATGACAAAGATTGTTTGTTTTATAGTTTTACAACGATTTCAATTTGAACAGTGGAATTTTTACCAATAATATAACTTCACATAATCTATCAAATAATTGTAAAAATTCAAAGAAAGATTAATGTTTATTTGCATAATGATTCAAACTTTTGAAAGAAGACGATATTTGAATGAGAAAAGATACCATATAAAAGGATAAGAAAATTATCTACAAAAAAGATTCTTTCGTTAATTAATTTCAATGAGCAATGGTCATTAGAATCTTTAACATGCCAGGTAATTTTTTTTTTCGATAATTTCTCTCTTGAAAATTCTCTTATCGACATTTTCGATGATATTTTCTCTCTTTTAACTGTCGAATATATCTATAATATCATTGTTATGTACTTATTACATAGTGCTTCGCTTCTCTTCTCTTCGGTTCAACTATTATACGTATGTTCTTGTTCTTTTCTTTTTCTATTCATCTGTTGTACGTATGCTCTTCTTCGTCTTATTCACTTTTCCTAACTGACGTCTTTGTTGAGTAAGAAGAAGCATTGTTCTATTCTTTCTATTATTCATTTTCTAAACAGACGGATGAAGCTTCTCGACTTTTTCTCTAGTCCATCTATTGTCTCTCTCCTGTGTATATATACTTGCTGTTGTCTTCAATAAACTGATCAGATATTCATTCATCCAAAAGGTGATGTATATGTAACTGTACTGGTTTTTGTTGCTTCATTTAATTATATCAATGCCATTTACTGAAATATTTATTCCTTCAGCTACTATTAGCTCAACAAGAGCACAGTGCATATCATGCTATCGATATATATGCAATCGTATTTTTAAAAACAAAAGAATCAATGGTTCACTCATAGTTGCAGGAAAACTGCTTTCTTCTCATAAAATAACTTCTATATTTGTACATGAGAGAGAGTATTAATAAACTCCAAACACAACTACATATGCCATTCATGTGACGTTAAAGATTTAACGGAATTATTTATTCCAACAAAATCAATGACAAATGAACAATTGTCAACGTATTGTGAAACTTTATCATATTTAGTAACAGACTTCAAACATACATTACATTCAGATATTCATCGTATATCTTATGATTTATTGAATAATGAACAATGTGAATCATTTAGTGGATTAACAAAGCATCAGATCCAACAACTAGCAACAGAATATTATTTAAATGAGGAAAATATTTTCTTATTTTACACAAAATGTAATACTGATAACAGTGATCTTCTTCTCAGTGAAGTATTTGGCATTTCTCAACGATCTATTTCTCATCGCTTTAATCAGTCTATTGAAGATCTTTTTAATAGTTTAGTTATCAATCAAATGGGTCCCACCACATGGGTCAGAAAAAAAGTCGATATACATACACCAATGTTTGCAAAAGAATTATTGCAAGTCAATGTTAACAATATTGTAGTCTCTATGGATGGCTTTCCTATATACATAAAAAAACCTGGTGACTTCACATTACAAAAATGAACGTGGTCATCACAAACTTTACGTAATTGTATTAAATTTCACTGTATCACACCTTTAGATGGCACATTTGTCGGAATACAAGGTGGTTATGGTGCAACTGGCCATAATAATGAAGAAAGCACCATTAATTCATTAACAAATGAAAATTATGCAATTGATAACAAAGATTATGATAATATTTATCACAATCATATGACTCAAACCTTTTTTTTCAAAAAGATTTCAAAAAGTAATGATATTTAATACTCGACCGAGGTTACACAAGAATGGACAAAAGGCAATACCAAACAAAAACACCACCATCAATTGATAAAGGCAAAACCCAACTATCAACAAAACAGGCTAACGAATCACGATTAGTTACATGTACGTTTTTTTTTCAAAAATTATTTCTCTGCAACAAAATGATGCATCTTTGTTTGAATGTTTTTTTGTTATAGTTCATCGAAATGTTGTAGAACGTGTCATCGGTCGTTTGAAAAAGTGGAAATTTTTAAAAAATAGAGTGTTTCATCAGTATGTGGCCAAATTCGATAAAATAGTTTCAATATTAGCATCTACGATTAATAAGTTCGATGAACCTTTGTACGAAAATGTATTAGATAAAAATAAATATGTTGAAGTAATTTTGAAACACATGAATGATTCTGAAAATGAATTAAAACATCTAATGAATGAAAGTCAAAATAATCCTTGGAAATTAACTGCAAAAAATCTAAAAGGAATTATTGATTTTGTAACAAATGCAAAGTATTTGCCAAGATATACACCATCAATAATCGAATCCATTTCGACAGGTTTTTATGCTATGAAATTATCGAAACGGTATTTTATCAACTCTATCGATTATTACAAAACAAAAAAATTAAAAATTGATTTTTTTTCTTAAAAAAGAACAACTATACCATGTAATGTTAAAATTGAATTATCAGAGTGATCATTATTTGTTATTGAATACGTAATCAATAATGAACCTGGTACAAATAAATTAAATTAAATAAAAGTTATTCATGGAAAAAAAAATTTTTTATTTAACGTCGTTTCCGTTGAGATTGTTGTTGAATAGATTGTTTTAATTTTAATCTTGACGAAGGTGAATAATTTTCTTTATTTAATGATCATAATGTTTGATTAATTGAATTTTTTGATGATGATAATAATGTACATGGAACAATGTTTAGTTTTTTTAACATAATGAACTAAATGATTAGTTAATGAACGTTTATTCGATGATGGAGAATTTAATAATAAACCATCATTATTATTATTATTATTCATTATTATTGAATGAAAAATTTTATTCTAAAACAAAAAAAAACGATTTTATTCTTTTGTCAATTCTGATTGATCAAAATAGAAATTTATGATTCTAAATAAATTTACCTGAGATATTTGTTTACAAAGAAAACTAAATCACCTTTTATTTCTATCATGATTTGCATTTTCTTTTCTTTTAAAGGAAGAAGATTTTTTGGATATCTAATCTTTGTTATTTATAGTAGAGTGTGACAATGATATTTTAAATTTTTATACGGAATTTAACGAGACGGAGCAATATTAACATCAGCAAAAGATCCTCGTTCAATACGCGATGAAGATCAAAAACAATCTGAAGGATTTTATTATGTAATGAATAAGAAATTGGGTGATACCGACGTGAGTGAAATTCTATTGGCATTCCATTTTTTTCTCTTTGTTTACATTTGTTGCTAATGTTTCGATGTTCCTGTTTGACATTGCAAAATAAAAACAAGTGTGATTCATTGCTCCATGATATAGAACAAAACAAGTTTACTAGCTACAAGTTTATTTGATCTTTTTTCATAGAGAAAATAACCAAAAAAAAACAGAACAATAGTTTAATCAAAAATCTTATATGCTTTTAAAAGTTCTTTGATTGTTGTACTTGGAACACTATCTTCTTTCGCCTCAACCATTTGCTTTGCAAAATCCAACAAATTTTGACGTTGTTCATCTTCATCCTAGAAAAAATATATATTAGTTTCATAATAGCTATTTCGTAGGTATGCGGATCTAACGCATTTCTTAGAATTAAAAGAATATCCTTACGTTTAACTTTTCAGCCATATTTTTGTCAACATGTATAATGGACATGCACACATACACACCGGTATATATAGGCACGTACCAAACTGGACGATATGAATTTTTCTTCTTTTTTTCCCTCTATCTTTTTTCTCTATAAACGACGGTCGAGGTCAAGTGAAAGAAAAATTAGAAAATGATCAATTATATTCATGTGATCTTAGTGACAAAAGTTTTAAAATGAAACTTTAAGTAATGCTGGTTCAGGACGTTCATCTACAGGACATTCATCTGCAGGGCGTTCATCTGTAAGACGTTCATCTGTAGGACGTTCATCTGTAGGACGTTCATCTGTAGGACGTTCATCTACAGTACGTTCGTCTTCAGGATCTTCATCTTCACCATCTTCATCAACTGTATCGACTGGTTCATTAAGTAAATATTTAACAACTCTCATAAAAGAACGAAGACGTATGAGATTAGTACCTAATGCATATTTATTTGATTATATATTAAAGCTAATATAAATAAATTTACCATCTTCATCAGCATCTGCAAGTAAACCATCAATTTTAGCTGCAGATGCATGTAAAAAAATGTTTTTAATCATTTTCTCTAAATAAAAAAGGCTTTAATGCTATTTATATATTATAATGTTCTGCATATGCCACAATCGTCCCAAGGAACTTGATGATCACGTCGTCGTATAGCCAATATGACTAAAGTTACGACGAGCTAAATCTTTTTTTGTTGATTAGTCAACCAATCTCCCATCTGAATGGACGTTATTTAAAATATATCTGTATAATAGTAGTAGTAGAGATTGTTCTAGTCATTAAAGGTTAGAAAAAAATGAACCATTTAATCTTCTATTTATCTCTTATATAATAGTATGCAATAGCTGGATGAGGCGTGCAAAATCTTTTCATTCTATCGATTCTTCATCTCAAAATAGAAAATAAACAAATAATGCTTAACATATATCTTAAATAAACTCTATAAAAATAGCGACATAGTTGATGACTAATGACCAGATAGAGAATGATAATGGCCATCACTATACATAACACATGTTAATACTGACGAAAAGACAAATAACTGTATATTCTTTTCAAAAAGGAATGCATTTGGAAAGATAAAAGACAATTATGATGATTTAGAATAGAATATTTAAAAGAGAGCAAATCAATTAAAAACTAAATCTAATCGCTTTTGATGAAATACTTACCAATTTGTAATTTACTTCGTTTTGATATTTTGCTAATGTTTGGCTTAACAATATGTTTTTCTAAATAGCTAAAACAAAAAAAAACGAAAATCTTTTATTTAAATAATTTGTTAATTTTACATAATTATCCATTGATTATTGAATTTCATACATTGATATATTCACAAAAACAATATAAACAACTTGTTTTTTTTGTTGCAGAATCGTGCGGGTGTGGATGTGGATGTTATTCTTCTCTTTAATCACACCCACACCCACACCCACCCTCCATCCACACCCTTTCCTTTCATTCACTTAGATATTTTCCTTCTGCTGATATTGTTTAGGTGTTTTCCCCTCACTTTGACCCGACTCTGGCGCCATCTATTTCCAACTTTTTTAAAATTAGGTTATCTCTTAAACTGTTGCTTTGGAACTCTTAGGAATACTTTTAATGATTTTAATGACCTTCCCAGGGGCTAATTAGTCGAATTAGATCAAAACATGAGGGGGGGGGGGTCGATAAGTGTATTTGTCCCCAACAATCATTCCTAAATATTCCATTAATTAAAATTAAAAATCAAAATGAGTAAAACTAACTTTTATTCTCATTATCAGAAAATCGATTTCTTTCTCCAAATATACAATGTGCCTCCATTTGTTGTTGTTTATTTGATTCGATTTGATTAGTATTTGTTATTATTTTTTTTCGACTGATTTGATTGCATTTTTATTTGTATATCGAGGAACAAAAGATATCGATGAAAGAATTTTAAGAGACGGTCCGTGAGGCCATTGGACATAGTCATACTCTCGAAAATTTTCACTCCTATATTTTTTGATTGCAAACGATAGGGCATGGTCAGATACTTCAAAACCCAAATTTTTAGCTCATTCTAGCTTGCCCTTAAAAAGTTATGAAGTAAATACTGGAAGGACTCTCAAGAGACTTTTTGAAAACAAAATTTTTTTCATGATAAATTCAATTGGTCAGTATCGGATCATTTTTTTCATACTAAGTTATCAGAATATTTTCGACTGATACCTCATTTGATAGAGCAAAGCGTGCTTTACAAAACTGCATATATGACCTTCCTTTCAACCTTCATTATATAGGGTGTTCCAGGTAGAGCCCTTCATTGGACCCGAAAACGACTTGTTGGACTCGGTCAAGGAAATGTCAACCGTTCCGTCATCTTTTGTGCTAATACATTATTCAAACGTTCATTTTCTAGGGAAATACTTTCTCTTTCACCTCATCTATTTAGAGAAGCGTTAGAGTCTTTCATAGCGGAAATTTTTTAAAAGAGAAAGTCCGGCTCCAAACTTGGACCCGCTCGGATCCGGAAAGTTTAGACCCAGAGTTTTTCTTTTAAAAACTTTTGATCATCATGACCTCTAATGCTTCTCTAAATAGATGAAGTGAAAGAGAAAGTATTTCCCTACAAAATGAACGTTTGAATAACGTATTAGCACAAAAAATGATGGAATGGCTGACATTTCTTTGATCGGGTCCAACAAGCCGTTTTCGGGTCCGATTAAGGGCTCTAGTTCCAGGTTCTAAACAAGATCTACCCTACTGTATTTTTCATGTTTTTTGCTCTTGCTTGTTTTCAGTTCAAGCTGCATTTCTCTGCGGATTTTAGCGGGATCAGAAATTTCTTTACGGATTTGAGTAGAGCAAATCAAGGGCTATCCAATGAGTATAAAATGTTTGAGATCAAAGTAACAACAAGCCTTCGTTTAAGCCATACAAGATATCCTATCAGTATGTAAATAATCATATTTTTCACATACTCTTTATTTTTTCCCTATTCTATATATATATTTTAGCTCTGAATTTTCTTCAAATTAGAAATTCAATTTTCCTTTATTTTTCAGCATTAAAAAGTACATTAAACAGGCTATCTCAAAAACTTTCGAGTCATGTTTAATAAGCAATTGATAACCTATGAATAGTATGGAATCATTTTAAGACCATAGCCTATACATGAAATAAGTCATCGTTTGTAATAGTAAACTAGCTTTACTCTACAATATATGTTATGTTGCTTTATCTTTCTTATTTCAATAACTTCCAGACCCAGACAGCATCATAAGGAACATTCTGCTACCAAGTGGTAGCAGCAAATATATGATTAAAGATGAGGATTGTTATCATTCCATATATTTGAAGTGATGGTAATTACCACCATAAATATAAATCACAATTAAGGTATTTGATAAAATAAACATCGAATAAATCTTGAAATTTAATTAAAGTATTTAATTCTCGTAAACATACTTTAGATATTTGTGAAATGCACAAAAAAAAAGTAAATGAGGTGTTCTATGATCATTTTTTTAAAAATAAAAATTGTATAAGTCGATGAATTTCTATTCTTTTTATTTCAATTTTAAGATATTCAACTTGTGGAAATGAATTAACAATCAATTTGAGGGTGTGGGTGTGGCCCACACCTCACATCCACACTCACACCCTCTCATCATAGTTAGCATGCTGCTTTTACTTCGCTCTGCCAAAGTAACGAGTTAGTTCGAATATTGTCTCCAAATTCAACTATAACATGTTTAGTCATATGTCAGCTAATAAAGATAGAAAATAGATAATATACTTTGACAAAATAAATAAAATAAGAAGATGAAGAAGTTCTATTTTTTATCATTATGTCTGATTGATAAAAAAAAAAATGTTCAGTTATTCCCAATACATAAAGGTTTTATAATAAAATCATAAATTGTGTGATTTACTACATGTACGATGCATTATGTTGATGGTATTACATTGCCTTCAACTTCTTGTTCATTGACTGTTTGTGAAGAAGAGCATCGTTTCCTTTCAATCAAAGTGTATCGGGTTCCTTTGCTACTGGTCGTTGTTGTTCATTGACAGATGTTAACTTTTCACGATCATCAACAATCAAAAGTTTTACTGCATTTATTTCTCATAAAACATCACTTTTTAATGCCTCATCTAAACGATTTGTTCTTTCTTTAATGTTCGAGTTGATACTGAAATCTCTTTTAGAATCTGCATTACCATCTGTAATAATCAAAACAATTTTTACGAGTTTAGCTAATGTTGAATATCTTGGTAATCCCTCGTTTGTTAAAACTGAAAAGACCTTGTCTTCAGTAATAATATATAGAATAATATGTAGTGTTATTATTACTACTCAGACTTGTATACTCTTCATTAACAAACCATGATCAATCTATTATTTCGACGCTGTGTAACATCTATTCACTCTGTAAACTATCAATTTCTTTATCATTAACCCGATTCGACATAGCTCGAGCGACTTGAACAATTTGATTGATCACTTCTTGATATATACAGTAATACTTGAATCTACATAATAATACATTATTTAAAGGAAGAGTTTTTGAGGTAATTGACAATTGTTTGACAAATTTTTCTAACATCTTGGAGAAAAAATGTTTTTTTTTCATCTAAATTAAGAATCGATATTAGTTTCTTTGCCTGCTAACCTATAAATATGGCATTGACGGGTGAAACAATACATTGATTCAACTTACTAATCCTGACTTCTTTTTCTGAACATCAAAACAAAGATTGTTGAAGATCACAATCAATTAGTCCTTAATTATATTTGTATTCGACAATGTCTAGTTGCAAAAATTAAGAAAGAACACTTTGATGTAAATTCAGTCAATTCGTAGTGAAAACCAAAGAATTAAAGGTTCTTTAGATTGGAAATAAGAGAGAAAACGATCAAATAAATTCTGACATATGCAAAATAAAAGTAAGCCTAGCTTTATTATAACGTTTATTTTCTTGAATTTGAGATAGGTTTTTTTTCAGATAAAATTTGAGGAAAATATTCAAATAAAACTTTCCATTGAACAAAATTAAAAAAAACTGTAGAAAAATAAACGAAAAGGATAGACATACTTAATATGTGATTCATCAGCTTTCCTTAAACGATTCATCGTGTTCTTGAAAAATACCACATAGCTTTTCCATAGCAGAATCAATATCATCAACTACATTATTAAAATCTTTTTTGGCATGCTAGTGAACATTTAAATTATGAATAAAGTCTAAACGACAATTCTCCATATACTATTTTAACAAGCATTATGAACTATATGAATGTTATAGCTTCTGATACTTAATAAACTAGTTCCCAGTTTGTTCATTTCAGTGTCACGCAAATTTTCGAGTTCTCTGTTGATATTCCGATTGTCTTCAATGATCATAAGAAGCTTTCTCAAAGTTAATCCATCAGTAGCAAATGATTCTATAATTATGTTACGAATTGTTATTGAATATATATGATCTAATACAATGGATTTATAAAATCTATTGACAACACTTTGTTTTTGTATTATACCAATATTGTAACAATACGTCTATTTGCTTCATATATTGATTGTTGATTTACTCATGAAACAACGAATTTATCAGATTTTTTCTCTTTACATCATCGACTATTTGTTTCTTGAAATAAGGAACTAGCCCTTGAGATATAACGTATGACATTTTATCAGCTTGAATACCAAAATTTGCGGCTATGACAGAATCAGGAAATATTTTGCTGAATAGTTCTTGTAATTCATTACAAGATTTATAACTATAATTTTTTTGAACAGTATTCTTTGATCATAAGATATCAGCTTTTGTTACTTGATCATCCAAAATTAAAGGCTTATTGTTGTTGCTCATTATTTATAATATAGGAACAGATATAGAAATAGATAAAGATGGTGATGAAAGGGACGAAGCTTAATGTTATTAAAAACTATTCATAGCGGTCGCCACAGAAAAAAATTGTGTTTATCAGCCGATAAGGAATCCTCTACTGGATCGATTTTTTATCGGTAACAGTTATAAGCCTGTTCTATTGTATTTTCATTGTTTTGATTTATCATCGAGACCAATTTTTCCATTCCAATGATAAAATAGATTATGAGAAAGTGAAAATCGTTCTCAAAACAACTTTTTAAAAAGCTTTAAATTTGTTTTCAATTGATTTTTTTTTAATAAAATAAAACAAAGCTTGAACGAGAATTTTTATTTTCTAAGAGCAAATAGAATAGCAGCTAAGACAAAAAATCCCAAAGACCATGCACCAGCATTGGCAAAACCAAACCATACTTTAAAATACCCAAATGTCCAATCTAAATATTATATAGATTTATTTGTTAATTCAAACAAAAGAAAAATGCAATACTTCTCGAAGCAATACATCGCATTGCCTCAACAGAATGCGTCAATGGAGTAAAGTTACTTAGAAAACGCATTATTGATGGCATTCCTTCAAGTGGCCATATTATACCTTTAATTTAGAGTTATTTATTGGTATAGAAAAAAAAAGAATTATGTTAAAAAAATTAACCTGAACTAAGTAATATAGGAAAAACACTTCCAAGTGCAACTTCCATAACTTCAATTTCTTGTTCACATACTGAAGATATTAAAAGACCTGTAGAAAAAATAAATAATTTATTTTATTCTTAAAAATATTCTTTTCTTACCATAACTCATACCACAAATTCCTTGTATAAAAATTAATGTCATTGCTAAGAAAATCGAACCTTTAATTTCAACCTTGTTTTAGAAAAAGAAATTAATTAAATGAAAAATATCAAAAATGAAAGCCAAACTTTAAAAATAAAATCAGCAAAAGTAAGTAAAAGCATTATTTGAATAAATTGAATAAAAAATTTAATAATAATATGAGCAAGCATAACTTCAATTGTTGTAACACCAGCAACCCAACTACGTTCTAAAAGACCTTCTTTTTTTTCAACAACAAACATTAATGCTGTTAAACCAATTGCCAAAAAGAATATTATTGATATCATCATGCCTGGTGCAGCAAAATTTAAAAACCGTGGGACAATACTTCCATATACAGGATTTTCAATGATTACTGGAGGATCAGCAATTGATGGATCAATTTTATAACTTGATAAAACTTCTTTTAAAAATAATTCTGTACTATTTAATATTATACTTTGTATTGTTAATGACACTTGTTGATCTTAATATGATAGACAAATATTTTATTTAGTTTTTTATTGAAAGATTCAACATTTACAAGATTTTAGAGAGTGAAAAGTATTGGGTACAAATATTTTTCGACTTATACTTGTACCTTCAATAGAGTTTATCCGATTCGGATGCGGCATAGGTCTGGCAGACTCTATTATTGGGTTTCTAATGAAAGTTAGATACAAATTATATAATAAAGAATAATTTTGTTCCATTATTCTTTTTTTTTCAAATCAATTGAAAACTTTCTTTTTCAATAAAACAAATAAGAATTAAAAAATACGATTAAATTTATTATGTGTATTGAATGTTGCTTTAGATTTGGAACTGTTCAATAACAAATTTCTAGACGTGACCAGTTCTATTCAGACATTCTTGAATGAATAAATACTGATTGGAAGAAGTTAGACTACAAGTCACGCAAGAATTATTCGAAGTTTCTCATGTAAACGAGTGGAGTGATTAAGTGATGGAATTGATTTTCTCACGAAATTCAGTTTCTTGTTTTTCTAATAGGCAACTCAGTTAGCAAGAGTCGATTACACCTCGAATCGTATAGTTAGACTCCATTCTGACTAGGCTCGACTGACTTAAAACTCGATATTATCTTCATCCTCTAGTATCATATTATGCAGTGTTCATATCCAAAGCTTTTTTTCTCCCATCTCCAACCTTTTTTAATTTCATTCATATATCAAATGAAAGTTCTTGTTTTCCTCTATCAAATAGTATATAGCAGTGAGACGAAATATATTCTTTTCCTTTTTTCTTTAGATAACATTATTCACTTGTACATATAAACAGTATGAGAACATTGATGATGAAGTTCGCCTCTCTACTATACTTTGAAAGCAACAATTCACATGGAATTATAAATCATTCGATAGTCCTTTCAAAACTCTACAAAATGTTCCTCTTGCGCAGACTTACTTTTACGGATAAAACACTGCATTTAAAGATGAAATTCTTCTAAGTGTCAAAAATGATTTTTTTTCTCGACTGATATTTGGTTGAAATTTATCAGAATAGTTAAATTTTTTAACAAGAAAAAGCCTATATTTGAAAACAGTATTAAAAACTGAATTGATCTGAATTTGTCAGCAAATCCTTCTACAACTTTTATTTTCGTCTAAAGATTTTGTCCTGACTCCCTTTAGGATTACATTAAAAAAAAAAATAAAGCCAGTCAAAACATCGCTTTTACTATTTATTCATCTATCGTTTCGAGTTTTCCTAGCTGTTCAAAGAATTAAAAGGAACTTCTCACAGTCTAAATGAGATTTTGAGTGACTTTAATTGTTAACGAAACTTCTAGGAGTTCAGAAAATACATAGTCGCTTATCGCAAAGTGCGAAAAAAGGCATGTCGAAATATTTCAGCATGCTCAAAAACTCGTGGAAACGGATTGACTAGTGGATTTTCGTTTCTTTGTAACGGAAGCTCACGAAATGGGAACTCTGACACTTCTACATAAAGATTGTAATTCAAAAACATAAAACCAAAGTAAAGACTAAAATCGGAAATATATTTTCTTCACATGTGGGACAATGAGCATATTGCATCAGGAAGGTCGTGATGACGATGCCTGGTCCGTTACTAGAGGAGATAAATTACCGTTGTGATGCGAATTACCTAGGGTAACGAAAATTTGATGAGGGCAGTTTTTCGGTTAGGAGTGACCTTTTTTGTGAAAATAATGATTTCATATAACATTTGAACAACGGTTTTGAAAGTTAAAGAATTCGATTCTATAAATGATTTCTTAAAATTTTCGAGTTTGACCTTTTTGGCAAGCCATCTATAGATTCTGATTCTTTGGTCAAACTTTATAATAATAATCATTTGCTCAAAATAAACTTTCCTTGATTGAAGAATTATGCTCATAGAGTTTTCACGACTTGTCACAGGAGAAATGGTCGTAATCCATAACTTTTCTTCCCTATCTATTACTGAAGCTTCTATTCGTGCTACTAATCTAGCTACTCAACTAATCAAATTTTCTCACGTTTTCGTATGTAATCAACCAACTTTGACACGGTTTTTCAAATAATCATTTGTTGGAATGAAAGTATTGAGAAGCATGGGACAAGATGTATTGTAATTGAGTGAGGAAACATAACTTCTCACTGCATCGATAGAACACCACATCAATACATCTTTTAGTATTAGGACAATTGGAAAATTTATGAATAGCAAAAGAATAATTTAAAAGAGAACTGTTCACATAATATCTATTTCTCTTCATATGCCGTGTATATTTACACTGATATCGAAATGTACAGCTGTAAAAGTCATGTAGTGACAATTATACGAAAAGACTAGTAAGAAGAAAAGGGAGAAGAATGCAAAAAGTACGATACGAACAATAGAACGATAGGGTGAGTTGAAAAGAGAAAAATGTTGACTAGAAAGATGAAACTATTAGTCTTTCTCACCTAAACAGCGTACCGCAAGGATAGACTGCAAGAACAATTGAGACTATGGTGTTTCTCCAATTAAACTCAGTAGAGCTCAAAAACTACTTTTCTGAAGGCAAACATTAGTTTAAAATAATAACTTGAAAGGACAATGATGTTTCAATGTTTTCTCAAAAAACTTTATCGTTTGATTGTGATTCCGCCTCGGTATTCTTATCTAGGTAGAGTATGGGTATGGGTGCGAATAAAGACAAGAAATACATCGAAACAGACGATCATACCCGCATATTATGTATCCCTCATCTATTCTAGCATCTTAAAATTCCGGATTAACTTTTTTCAGCCTTTACTTAGACTTTCGGGCACTAATTACTATTGATCTTGATATATGGATTAACAGAAATGGAAATTACCGGTCTCAAGAATAGCAAAACCCGAAAACTATCGAGCTTGAAGAAACTTACCCCGAAATTCTGGCTCTATTTCTGTTGCCTACGAACGGAAGCTCAAAGAATAGGAACCTTTATACCTTTAGATCAGAATCGATTTTTTTCTTCAATGAAAATATAAGTTGAAGAAGGCTTTGGTAACAAATTTAGATCAAATCAGTTTTAATACTGTTTTCAAATAGAGAATTTTTTTTGTTAGAAAGTCTAACTATTCTGATCGATTTTGGTCAAATATCAGTCACGAAAAAGAATCATTTTTGATACTTTGGAGAATTTCCTCTTTCAATGAAGTGCTTTATTCGCAAAAGTAAAGTCTGCACAAGAAGAACATTTTTTAGAGCTTTGAAAGAATTATCGAATGATTTGTAATTTCAAGTGAATCGTTGTTTTCAAAGTATAATTGGAGAGGAGAACCTTCGCCAACAGTGTTCTCATCCTATATATATATATAAGTGAACAATGTTATCTAAAGATAAAAGGAAAGAGAACAATATTTCGTCATACTCCTATATGTCATTTGATATGTAATTGAAATAACCGTTAAGTCAGTGATAGACATCTCAGACACTTGACATTATGTATATAGATTCACGCAATAAAACTTAAACGTCCTTGAAAATGATTGTTGAGACTTAGTGAAAAGAATTTATATTTGTTTTATTGATCTGTTTGCATAACCCAACAGATTAATTCAAATAATAAAACATTGGATAATCAATGTACAAATGATAGATTTGACTTTTATTTGTTTGAATTGACCTTTGTACTCGCACGAACAAACGAAACTAGATTGATTTCAAATTTTTTTTTCATTTTCTCAGCGTTTTATGCAAATTTTCTCTAGCAGAGGGATGATATAAAACTTTCAGGGATATACACGATCTTTGAATAAACGTTGTCCTTTAGTTTCATGGGATTGATAAAACTGATTATGTTGTATTAAAGAAAATATTTTTGACAAGATCAAATAAAATAAATTTTTTATTTGATAACAGAAATTTGTCAAGTTTGTTTCATCGATTGACACGCGATGTTGTCTTTTTATTTTTATAAAAATAATCAAACTCCTATATGACTCTTTAATATTGAATTATCTAAGAATCACGATATAGAAAAAATAAAAATTCGATTTTCAATTATCCTGTTATTGAAGAAATAAATCTTAAATTGTAGGACTTACTAGTCATATCAAGATAAAGATGAAGTGATGATGCATTTAAAGTAGCTGGATCTGTTTGAAATGCTAATAATCTTTAGAATAAAAATCGAACAAAGAAAAAGAAAAAATATATGAAATGTAAATAAAAAACACGAACTTATTTTTGATTGCTTGTGTAAAATTAAATTCAATAGCAGCAACACCCCAATAATGTCCTTGTTTAACAGCATCCATTGCTTTATTAAACTCATTAAATGATGTCTTCAATTTTAAAATAAAATAAATTTTAACTAAAAGAAAAAGAAAAAGAAATATTTTAACATACAAAATGAATTTGGTCAGGATTTATTTTATTTAAAAGTTGTAAACTTAAATTTCCTGTTGGAAATCCATTTATTGCTTCACTATTATAAAGTGCCATTGGAATATGTTCAGGCTCACCTAAATATCATTTTTAAAATAATTTAAATCAATAGAATATCAAATTAACATACGACCAATACAAAGACAAAAAAGTGCAACTTGAATAACAGGAATTAAAAACTGAAACAACAAAAACCTAAAAACAAACCCATATTAAACAATAAATGAAATATTAAAAAAAAAAAGAATTACCCAATACTTCGTTTAATTACTGTTAAATCTTTCAACATTAATGCATAAATTTTATGCATATGAGGTAATATAAAGTAATCAGCTACAACTCGTTTAGCATATCTCAGAGCTTAATAAAAGTATTTTATTTTTCTTTGTTTTGTTTTTCAATTTACACTTACGATTTTTTTCAAATTTTCTTTTCTGATTATCTAATGGAAGATCAGTTCCATTAATTCTATTGACGGATACATGAATAGAAGTAGGAGATGAATTTCGATCATCAATATCATTGGGTATATCAGTATGTCTATCACCATCTGTATTGCTTATTGGAATTTGTTCTTGAGAGCGATCTTGATCATGATAACATAATTGAAGAAAAACATTTTCTAAACTCTAAAAAAACACTTTTGTTTTCATTTGATTGAATTATTTTAATAAAAATAAAAACAAACTGTTTGATTATATTTATTCAAAAGAAGAGATGGTTCATCTTCAGCTAATATTCTTCCACTACGCATAAGTCCAACCTAAATACAATGTTTTATTTTTATTAAAAAACAAAAAAAATTCATACACAATTAGCTTTTCTTGCTTCTTCAATATAATGAGTTGTTATTATTATTGTTGTTTTACTTGTTTTTGATATATTTATAAGATGACTCCAGATTCTTAAAAAAAAAGAAATAAAATAAAATTCAAAAACAATAAAATAAATAAATAGAAACTTTTCTCGAAGTAAAGGATCAACTCCAACAGTTGGTTCATCAAGAATTAATAATTGAGGTTGTTGAAGAAGAGCACATGCTAATGATACACGACGCTGTTGACCACCACTTTATAAAAAAAAACAATAAGTTTTTTTCTTTTTAATTAAAATAAACAAAATAATAAATTTAAACCTTAATTGTGAAACGTTTTTTGATTTAGAAGGTAAATCAAGAAATGAAATAAGAAATTCTTCTCGAGATAAAATATCTTTACGATTCATATTATGAAGACGACCAAAATGATGAAGCATTTCTGATATTGAAAAATTTTTATAAAGTGCTGTTTCTTGTGGCATAAAACCAACTGATCGACCAGGAACTTCATGTCCACGACTACCTGGTCTTTTACCTAATACAATTACTTCACCTCGATTTAATTCTAAACGACCAACAATACAACGTAAAAGAGTTGTCTTTCCACATCCAGATGGACCCAATAAACCATATCTAAATTTCAATATTCGTCATTTTAGTTTCTTTTTGTTTTAAATTACATAACATACATTATTCCTGTTGGAACATGAAGATTTATATTATGTAAAACAGTTACTGATTTCCACCAATGACCATAATTTTTCCATGCATTTATGACAGAAACAGCCAAATCTTCTGATTCGTTCTTTAAGAAAAAAAATCGAAAATAAAAGAAAATATTTGAGATAAATTAAATAATAAAGCTTTATTACCAAAATCAAGAACAATATATGAATTTTTTCAATTTGACATAAATATTTCAAATATTAAATAAATCTTCGAGCAATAGCATAGATAATAGAAAATTTTTTATTTCTTTTAGCAGGCTCATGCACTCTTACCATTATCACGCACTCTTATTTATCAACTATTTTTTAAGTGACAAAGAAACAAACACATTTTTTTCTGATAAGCTTTACCTTTAAAAAACAAATAAAGAAAAAAGAATCTATTCAACACTAGATTCATTTAATCAATTAAATATTTTCATTATTTTTAACTGTTTCTACACGTTTTTCTTTTTGATTAATATAATTAATTAAATAATCTATTTCTTCTTTGAAAATATTTCAAATATCCTCATTGGTTTTACTTGATTCCCAATGATATTATAACCAAGGCTGATCCGATCCAACTCGACCGAGGAGAAACTATCACAGGTGAGATATTCTCCTTAAAAATGTAAATTTTTATTATGTTTAATAGATAAAAGTGAAGAAACAAATATGCACCAAGGCTTTACTAACTTTTTCCAGATATGGATATAAAAGTACACAAAATCTTTTTCAAACAACTAAGAAAGCAAAGTCAATGTTGTTTTTTCGCTTGCGAGGGTAGGTTCATAAGTGATAACCCGAGATTTCAGATAAAACTTTATGGATTTGCTATACCAAGTATCCTGATGTCAAGTATGAAACAATTATCGACTGAGACTGATCCAATAAAAAGTTATAGTCAAAACATTTTTTCACTATTTGATGCATATGTACAACTACATACTTTTCTAGAGTATCATATTTGTTTTCTCGAAGTTTTGTCTGATGTCAGACATAGCAAATACATATATGGAGTGAAATTCTTTTCTACCAGCATTATAGTATGACATCACTCTATACGTGTATTCTTTTTCAGTTCTGTTAATGTGTATTTATTCATACACGCCTTTTCTCTATTCTAGTGTGGTATGCTTGGCTTTCAACAGGTTATTTATTGAAAGATCTTGATACTTTTGGGAATGTGTAGGACGTGTGTTTTTCTTTCGGTGCAGGTTTTTGTTCTTTGTCCACGTGTAGTGACTATTTTTTTAATTTCCTGTAGTCATTGTGATCTTGTATTTTGTTTCAATCATTTTTTTTCATTGACGATCATAAGCATTGCAACTAATACTTTAGTTTATCGCATCAAAAAGATCTATCTTTTATACACATATAGAGGGATATCATACTATAATGCTGATGGAAAAGAATTTCACTCCATATATGTATTTACTATGTCTGACATCAGACAAAACTTCGAGAAAACAAATATGATACTCTAGAAAAGTATATAGTTGTACATATGCATCAAATAGTGAAAAAATATTTTGATTATCACTTTTTATTGGATCAGTCTCAGTCGATAATTGTTTCATACTTGACATCAGGATACTTGGTGTAGCAAATCCACGCAGTCTCACCTGTAATCTTGGGTCATTATTCGGAGACCTTCCCTCGTTAGAGAAAAAGTAATGATAATAAAATCGTAGTTCTTCTAATAAATCTCTGATCTGTAGTTTAAATAATATGCCATTATATTATCCGATGCCAAAATAGTTTTGTTTTTGAACAGTCGTTACAATCGTGACTGACTTCGACAATAAAAGCTTCTTCCAAATCCTAAATATAAATAATTGACATTTGACAATCGTTTACTTTTTTTGGAAGAACCAATACAGTCGGAGAATTTTTATCAACCATAAAAAAAATCATTTCACTTCGGTAAATAATATCAATTACATAATGGTAATCAGTTTTGAAAGACTTGAAGCTTAGTTATAGCACATTTTCAATTAATCGTACTTTCTCGAAAATATATCTTTGATCAATAGTCGCTCATATAAATGCATTCGCTATGTAAAGTACAAAAAAACTTTTTTAATTTCATAAAAAGATAATTATTCTTTCGCAAGAACATAAAAGATAAAATTGAGTTCGTTTTTAGATTTTAAAGAATGTTCTTTAGTCGAAGAAACAAGTTCATTGCAAAATAAATAGTTGAAAAAGATAGGAGTAATTCTATTTTTAAAAATGTTCATCTTTATTCTAATATTGATTAATGCAAAATATCTCTGTAGATACTTCTTTTGATTGTTTCACCGTTATATTTCGATTTGCATTTTTTTCTTTGTAATCTGTTTTCTATATGTGATTATATTAACTAAATTCTATTCTATATGCAGAGATTTCATAGAATAAATAAGTAGAAACTTATTCTTGTTTGAAGAGCATACAATGTCGGAAAAACGCTTTTCTAATCTCGTCTGTTAACTTCAAAGACCCGTTCATATGTGAAATAAATATGAAGCTGTTAAATATTGTTATTAATTTGTTTTTTATGTAATTGAAGTTATCTTAATGAAATAAGGATAGAAATGAAAGTGTTTTATCTTCAATTGTTTAACGAAATTTTTTTCTATTAGATAGATTTGGATAATTTTCATTTAATTTTTGTTAAAGATTGTTAGTGATTGGGTTTTCTTATCAAAAATAAAGAACATTCATTTATAAGGAAAACGAAAAAAAAAACAATTCCAGAGAAACAACCAAACTGGCCATCTGACAGGCATTTCGACGCGTCGATTTAAGGTTGCCGTGTGCATCGAAATTTCAAACGTACCCTTTGAGTTTTCACTTTCCGATAGGTCAAGGACTCATCGATAGGTCAGTAAGATGCGGAATTTTTGACCTGTCGAACGATTTTTACCGAGTGATCAATAATTTGATTAAAATAAAAACAATTTTTTCCTGTAAATGCCTTATTTTCGAGCTATCGAAACCTATCGAATTATTGCACCGGAGGAGATTCGAACATGGGTACTTATGATTAACCTTCGTCAAACATCTAAATTAAATATGAACTATTGTTCTTCTATCAAAGTTATCTTCTCAATTCTTAGAAGAATAGTACTTTCAAGATTGTTATTTTGATATTTGCTAACAGTTTTCGAAAATTAAAAAAGACGTTTTAATCGAATACAAACATCTTTTGCATGTCTCTAACTACAGAAAAGATTTTTTTTTTGAGTTTCAGATGCCCTATAACAAGCTTATTTGATAAATAATTAATTTGTGTGATAGAGTATAAAATCAATATTGAAAAAAAATTTCAAACATTCAAAACACAAAAAGTGTTATGACTCTGTTTTTTGTCAAAAACGCTTGTGGATCTCGGTCTTACTTGTTATTTTTCATTAGTTAATGTTAAATCTTTTTTAGAAAATTATGTAATTAAGGAAAATATATGTCGAATATAAATCACCCTACTGAGGTAGCTCAATGAAAGAAACATTTGTAAATCACTTTTTGAAGAAGTTTCACAATATCAAAATTAACTTCACCACTTGAAACTGTTCTTCTGTTCGACTTGCTTCTACTAGAATACTCAATATCATGCTTCCAATATTTCTTTTCTCAAGTACTCGAAACTTCGATGAATATCAAAGAATCTAAGAGTCCTTGAGAAGTCGAAAATGAATGTTTAATAGGATACAGCTTTCGAGTGGTTGGAAACCAATGGCTGCCGAGAGGCTCGAAATCGGAACAGAACAAATAAAAAATATATTGTATTTTAAATTTTCGAGCGCTCGTCGCACTCATCGTATGTTTCTTAAAGTCTGCTTGGGAAATATATTTATTTAGAAACTATATGAGATATTTTCATTTAATTTAACCCTAGCACTATCAGCAAGGGTCATTTTTGACCTGTACTCAAAAATTTGAAAATTCACTGGAAATATGTTGTTGAATCTAAAAAGAAATTCGTTTGTTTGTTAATATCATTACAAGCCTTCGGTACAATCCCATGTCTTCAATATACAACAAACATATAACAAGGAAGAGAACGAGTTAAATTTTCAATCCATAATCCAATGACTCATTCAATATTCTAACTGGATATTTCCAATCCATTGAAAAGCATTTTTTTTGAGTGGTTTCGAACGGTATGCAAATCGAACGATGTTCGATTTGTCAAAAAACTTCCAGAGACAAAAAAACTTTAACTAAATGTTATAATTGCTCCAAATTTGTTTGTAACGAGCATTCTGTAAAACATAATTTTTGTATTATTTATTCTAAATAAAGAAAGCATATCATTTTAATAATTTTTTTATCAGATCGAATATGAAAGCAGCACATTTTATTAGGACATTAATGTAAGAGTAAAACAAAAATCAGTTTATGAAAACATATGTTGTCAGTAAAGTGCTTCAAAAAAAGCTGGTAGTACTAGGATTAATACAAAATAATAAATGATAAACAGAATTTAGTTTCAATATGATAAAATCAATTCGATGAATTTAAATTAAATAATAAAGTATTCCTATCAAGACGTAGTGATCTATAAACATGACAAAGGCTTGTATCACTTGTTGAACCTTGAATTAAATCTAAAAGAATTGTTGCTAAAACTGGAGATTCAACAAATCCGCCAGCATTTGTTCCACCAACAAAATACACTTGTTGGTTTTTATTCTCAGCACTTAATTGAGCAACAATTGGCATACCATCAGGAGTCATTGGACGAATACAAAATCTCATTGGGAGAATTTCTGATTCACTTGCATCGATTTCATCAGGTAAATAAGAACGTATTGTTGAATAAAATAATTCAATTAATTGATTAAGATAAGGTGATTGAACAATTCCACGTTGACCACAAAAAGCAAAACCGCCTGTTACATATAAATATTGTTCATCATAACTTGGTGTCACATTAATAAAACTGATTGGATCTTTTTCTACTATTTTAAATCCATTTTTTATTAAATGAACATTCGGAAGTTTGATCCAACATCCAAGAACACCTTGTACAGCTAATGAGACATTATATAATAATGAAGAATCTAATCGATTAAGACTTGAAGCAAATATTATTTTTGAAGAATTTATATTATCAATTGAACAAACTTGAGTTGACCATTTAAATTTAACATTTGGATTATGTTCCAAAAATTCAATCATATTTTGACAAAGTTTTACATTATTAATAGTAAAACCAGGTACTTCAATGCCAGCAGCATCTCCATCTTGAAGTACGAGGCCAGGTATTTTTTCAAGAACTTGTGAATGTGATAATATTTGAAGATTATCTTCACTTTTATGGTATTTGGTTTGAAATAATGAAACAATATTTAATGAAGTTAATGATGGACATACTCGAATAATTCGACGATTTTTAATTGTATCTTGAATTACATTTGGATAATTTTGAGATATGTCTTCCCATAATTCAATTCCACGTCGATTTAAATTTGATACAAATTGATTAAACAAATTAACAACTAATTCTGGATAACCAGCAAGTTCACTAAACCTATCAATCCAGACAAGTTCCTGATTATTAAATTGATTATGTATTATTCTCCATCCTCCATGATCTAATGGATATTTTCTTAAACTATCTATTCTGTAAAATACAGCATGCGGCATTGTTTCTGTAATAGATGCATGTCGTGCATCACATCCGTCAAGTGTTGTACCACGATAAGATATTTCATTTTGATTTAATTTATTATCTGTATCAGGACGGTTATGTTCATCAATAATAGTTACTCTATAACCACTTTCACTAAGAAAGAAAGCAGTTACTAAACCCATAATACCTGCTCCAATAACAGTAATTTCTTCATTTTTTCTCGATGAACCAACGAAAAATGGCAATGGTGATTTAAATGATTGTTCAAGTACAACATTAGCAAGAAGAACAAGAGCAGCTTGATCCATAGCTTCACCACATCCAGGTACTGTCATAGCAGCTGATACAACTTCTAATTCTTGTGGAGGATCTTTAATTGTAATTAAATCAAATGCCGTTGAATCTAAACGAGCACTAATTTGTCCTTGTCGAACACGTTCAATAAGAACATCAAGAGCTCCTTGGCCAAATACACAAAATTCAGTAACAGATACAAGTCTTGCTCCATTTGGTATTATTTGAAAAAATTCTTTCGATAATTGTTCATTAATATTGTTAACTCTCTCAGCATCAATAGCAAGTACAACATGTGTAGCATTTATAACAGCTTGTTCAGGTGTCATTGATATATTTATATCAGATAAAGCAATACCTTTTCTTTTTCGAATTTCATTTTGAACAGTTTCATCAGGATTTGTTAATGATGGACTATAAATATGAATTTTATGTTTAGCTCGACATAAACGATAAGCAATTCGACTTCCAATAGCACCTGATCCAATTATTCCAATCGTTGCATAAGTTCCATCATTTGGTAAATGAAGATGTTCAATTATATATTCAGCAACAAATCGAGAGTTTACACTTAATGTATTTAATACGTTTATATTTAATTGTTTAGCTCGATGAACATGAATACGTGAAAGTGATGAACCTCTTCGAATAATCGTTAATTGAATATCATGACTGATTATTGAACGCCATAATTCAAGTGTTTCACTTCCAACAGAATTATTTCCAACAATAATAACATAAGGATGATGTTGACGAATAGCAACACGAAGATTTGATTCATCTTGAACTAATTCTGGTAGATAAATTAATTTATCACGATTATGAATTTCACTTTTAAATGGATAAGCAATTAATACTTGCATTTTTACAAGTTTAGTCTTTTTTTTTTTATTTCGGAATATTAGTTTGTTTTACTTTTAATCAAGAGAAGAACAAGAAAAATAAAAAAGCAGTATTACCTTAAATATAGTTTAACAGGTAATCATGAATCCTTTAATGATAATTACTTCTCTTTTTTACGCAGGAAAAAAATCTTTCTATTTTTGATCATATTATTTTCGTTTAATTTAATTCTCAATAGATGAAATGTTTTTTTTTTTGCATAATGGAATAGATATTAGCATGTAAATCAAAATAACTCATGCTTACTCTACATATATTAGCCGAGATTGAAATAAACAGTCTCACGTGTTTTTTTCTAACAACAATATTCGTTGTTCTTTATCGGGGGTGTCCCGAGTGGAGGTCACTCCCCTCTTCGGGGAATTTTGTTTTTTTTGTACTTGACGATTTTGAAAAATTTTCGAAGAATTGTCGATTCTCCCGCAATTTTTTCTACTTCGGGACATCTCTTGTCTTTGTCAAGGATATTTTTCTCTTAAGATTTTTTATTAAATAGATATATTTATTTGAAAGTCATAATAATTATTTAATCAATTATTTTACCCTAAACAAATATGAATATATGAAAATATTTTATAAAAATGATAGACATTTTATATAATTATTTGATTTATTTTCATTACTATGAATAGAATAATATACTTATTATCAATTTTAAGATGATAATTATTGAAATCCTATTAATGATTAAGATTGAATAGAATTTAATAGAATAAATCGAATTGTTCTTGGTATATGATATTGATTGAAGAACTTATTTCTTATTGAAAAAGACAATTTCAACTTAATTTCTCTCAATATGATTTATTTTCTATAAGGATAACATATGTCTATTCACTTTTTTTTCTCATATTTTATCGAATTCAATATCGAACAAATTGTTTAACAGTCGATGAATATTATTTTAACATTAATGTTGACTCGACTTTTGCAAAATCTTATATAAAAAACATGAACTTACTTTTTTTGATCGAACTTGAGAAAAATTTTGTTTCAGTTATATTTAATTGAGATATTCAATTGTTACTATTCTCTACGATGTGCCGATATATATGTTATAAATGATAAACTAGCCGAGATATTTATTTCATTTTTGTTATTTTACAACAAAGATTTTTTAGAATTGATTTATTTAATTGAATATATATGTCGAATATAAAGAATTGTTGTTTCATTAAAAATACGTTTAGAAAATGTTGATATTAAACAAAACTTAATCGTCGAATTGAATTTTTTTAAAGAATTATTTATCGAATAAACATATATTCATTTATATTCTATATTGGCTTCAATTGAAATATATTTATTTGACATTATTTCATCGATAAATAAATAAATAAATAACAATAGAATATATTTTATTTGTTAAAAATATTTATCTACGTAACATTTTATTATCAATAGATTTATTTACATATTTATTAAAATAGAAATAAAAAAAAACAAGACTCGGATATTGAACTCTTTTTTTCTTTTTTTTCGATTTTAATATAAAATTGTTAAAAAATAATACATCGATGAAAGTATAGAGAGAGAGAGATTTATTTAAAAAGAGAAAAAAAAACAAATATTGATAAGAAGAAAAATAAATGTAAAAAAAATGTTATTTATTTGAAATAATTAAATAAAATATTGATAACTATATGAAGATAATCTATTAAGAAGATTATTTCTTTCAGTGACTTCAACACTCATTAAAGTTGTTTTTCACAAAAGCGACGATTGTCTAATATGCATGCTCAATTTTTATCGAAAGGAACAGAATCGATAAACGTATGGAAAAATATAACAAGCACGCTCTAAGAAGAGAAAAGACAAAAGACAGCGTGTGCGTCAATGATGCAACAGATTTATGATGCGAAGTTATTGTCATAGTCGAATATGTCACATATTGTGTCGTCAAGTCCGGTACATTTTCATTTGCTGTACGATAGAAAATTAGTTTTGGCAAACGGTTAATAAGAAGTGTTGATAGTTCATAGAATAATTCTTCTGCTTAAATCTTCTATGCTTTAACGACAATTTTCAAGTTAATTCGATGAATTGGTGATTTTGAAAACTGATTTCAATGTTGGATCAAATACTGATCCAAGTTATTTGAAATATGAAAAAAGTTGAAAAGTTCAATTGAGTTCAGATTGTAAAAATTATATTAGTATATTATAGAAGTTAAATCTCATGAAAATATTTACTGAAATGAGAAGTTAGAAGAATTTATTTATTAATCAATCTTCATCATTGAGTATGGATATCATTTTTGAAACATGAACGAAAAAGTTTAATTGTCTGATAAGATAAATTATTGAATGAATAACTTTGTTTCCTTGTAAACAAATGCTTTGAACACCTATAGAAAGTTTTAATAAAAGACAATTTATTTAATTGATCACACATCATATGATATCTATTTAATGTCGAATATTCTTATGTTACACGGAATTCATTGTCATAGATATTAGCCAATTTCATCTTTAATGTTTTTTAACTCAACAATACAAGATGTATTTCTATTATGTAAAACAATCGATATATAACATATGATATTTATTGATGCACCAATCTGTAGACTTATCAAAAATACAATAAAACTAAGCTCTATATCAATGCTAATAGATATTTTATTGGTGATTCGAAAAAAAATATATTCTTTGCTTTATTTATTGAATAATAAATTGCAACTGTTACCAAACGATTTTTCATTCAGTTCTGCAAGTATCATCAATGACACATAAGTAGCCGTTCTGGGAAGATCTGTAATGAATAAATGATGTAAGTTCGAATGCTTAATATCATTGACAATTACCATTGCTATGATTAGTCAATTGACATTATTTTTGTAAAAAATAAAACGGGCTTGTATGTGATTATAGCAAAAAAAAGAAACTTACTCGTAGATATCGAAAACACAAGGAATCATCTGGTTAGCTAATTGAAAAATGGCAACATAGATAATATAATTATTGTTCTAATATGAGAGTAAGGTGCGTAACAAAAAAAACAAAAGAATCTTACTATGATATATTTTGCACAAATGAAGTCATAGTTGAAGTTCACTACTAACAATGATAAATCAGTTATATTCTAGTACATCGAATAACAAATCGAAATTTAATATCTATTAATTATCTGTAATAGCGTTGTTTTATTTTAAATCATTTTCTTTATTTGATTCATTTTTTTTTGCGATGAAATAACAGAAATTTTCGTTTATTCTATTTATATTTTTTAAAAGTATTATCAGATTTATCTATATAAACGAAAGAAGGATGTTAATGAAATTCTTTTGCTATTGATAAACAAGTGATTCAAAATGTTGAACATATATATCTATTTAGTTTTCAAAATTTTTATTGATTAGGTTTTCTTTTAATGTAACTTAACAATTATTTCGAGTCACTTGATGTAATTAAGACTGTTTTTAAGAGAATATTAGTTTCAGTTCCATCATTGAGAACTTCTTCCAAAACGTATTATTTTAATGTAAATATTATCTTATTATGCTTAGACATGTTTATGATTATCTAGAATATTTTAATCTTTTATGTTTTATTTATTGATTTGTTTAAGAATAATGAAAGACTTTTATCAATTTGGAGTCGAACTGTCAACTTAACATTTTCACATTATGAATGTACACATTGATAAGAGTCTAAATTCAGATGACATTATTTATTAATCAGTGAACAGTCTAAAATATAGTCAAGTCTACTTCGCAATGAAACAATTCGAACTCATATTAAAACTGATTTCCAATTAGTCTGAAATAAATGAAAAAAAAATACAACAATGTATAAGAGAAGAATATTTGCAGATCAAATAAACTTTTCTAATGTTGAATATTTTATAATTAAATAAGTTTATCAATGATTTATTCATTAGTTTTTAATAAATAGAAATGGTTTTTTTTTTCTCGTTAATATATTCATACGAATATAATAATAAGAATAATTTAATGTTGATATGATAAATTAATCTTTGATAAATATTCTTTTTCAAGTACAAAATATGTCAATAACAAATAGTTAACATATTTTCAAAGATTATTCGAGAGCAAAATAACAAATCTGTTCTCCAAAAGCTTTCATTTTATATTGATATGAAAGAAAATTTCTCTATAAGAACATATCCTTATGGTAATCTTCATTTTTTTCACATATTATTATTTCAGTTTAGTAGATTCTATTGAGAAAAATAATTATCCATTTTATTCTCTGCTATATGGGATGAAAGTCAATTGAATGAGGTTTTTTTTAATGAAAACTCAAATTTCTGTTAAACATAAATTCAATGAATATAATCGAGTCATTTTGTCTAAATAATGTTAATCAAATAATAAACAATTGAAAAAGATTGATTTTTGATTTAAATTCCTTATTCTTGATGAGTTTGTCAAATACAACGAATAAAAATAATGTCTAATTTTTATTCGTGGACACAATTGATTATGATTCAATTGAAATTTCATTGATTTTAAAATACAATTGAAAACAAATTATACATGAATAAGAAAATGACAATATTGTATTAATGTGACATCTTTTGTTTGTTTGTTTTTTTTATTAAATATTCGATTGGTGTTGACAATAAGCCACGTTTCATTCATTAGAAAATTGTTCTTATTATATTAATGATTAATCGATCACATAAGTTTTTAAAAAAATCAAATTAAACGAATCTTTATCATCAAGATTTGAAGTATTTCTAACGATTTTATTAACAACTAATTGTTATCAACAATTAATCAAACATGAGTATATTATCGATCTTAGACCTGCATAATTGTTATTAAGGATATTTCTTGTTTTGGTTTTTTTTTTTCTCTTTATATTTTAATTTAGTTCTATTGATATTGATCACTATTTTCATATATTTGAAATTCGTTCCACTATGCTTTGTTGATACTTTAGCTGCCTTTTCACTTCTATTAAGTCAAATAATTAATTTATGTCACTCGTTTTGTATATGTCAATCACTATCAACTGGAAATATTTGATTAATAATAATATTAATCTTATTTATCGGTTGACTTGCATAAACTTTAATATAAATTGAAGAAACAAATGATTCAATACTTATTTGAATATTTATTTTATTTTTTTACTTTTTGCATTTTTCTCAGTTATATTTTTCGACTTTTAATAAGAAAAAAACAACGAAAATGTAATTTTTTTTTCTAGATAAATAATGGATGATGTTACAATCGAAGATGAGTTTGAATTGAATGAAGATAAACCATTTGGATCAAAAAGTGAATTTCCTCTTCGAAAATCATTTTCAATATTTCAAATATGTAAAGATTTTTTTTTTCTTTGTTTTCTTTTTTAATTTTAATTTTTAATCAAATTTAGTGAGTCAACCATGGATCATATTTATATTATTATCAATTGCTCTCCTTATTTTTATTTACATAAATAGAAATCGACGACGAAATAGAAATTTAATAGTTGATTATGAACACATTCAACATGAAACAAACAAACAAAAACTTAAAAGTAGATATTCATTGATCTTTTTTTTCTCAATTATAATAATTGATTTAATTCATATAGATGATCAATTTAATCAATATGATGATATGGAACGTATTCGACAAAAACAACAAAAAGCTTATGAAGAACAAGCTTTACGTCATGCTGAACAAAAAAAAGCTGTAAAGCATTTTTTTTTTCTTATATTTAATATATTTATTTTCCTTTTTTATTTTTATTAGAAAATTGAAAGTTCAAAACCATCAATAGATGAAAATCCCAATCGATCAAAATATCGATCAAGTGATCATAATCCATTAACAGGTCAATCAAATCGTGGATCTTCTGATTCATGTTCATGGCGTCCATCTTCTCGTCAAAAGCCAGGCGGAGGATGATCTTAAATTAAACTCGTTTAAAAAACGAGGATTTTTTTTTAAAAATTATTTGTTCTTTTATAAATGATGTCATCTATGGAAACGCTTTAGCGACATTGATTGACTGATTCTCAAAAGAACGTTTTCTTTTTTTTGTCATTTTATTTAAATTAAATAAACAAATATCAAATTATTTTCTAATTGTTTTTTTTTCATTCATTATTTGTTCTTAATCATTCGATTATTATTAAATGCGATTTCAAAGATTATCATAATCAAGTTATCAAAAGATAATCGAAATAACATTTTATTTTTTGAAATATTTTTCTAAGATGCTTCAATTAGGAATAATATATTTTTCTCGAGACATTTTTTTTTTTATGAAAAAAACATTCAAGAGGATTCGAATTTAATATTTGACAATTATAGATAAAAATCTTTGACTCTTATTGACAACTCTCAATATAAAAAATATTATCTGTAACAAATGTTCGTGTGTTTCATTGACATATTTTCAAATCACATAGAGAACACTTTTGCTTATCGAATCAAATATATTTATTTATTTTTTTCATTATATAATAATGCATTGGAAATGAATAAGATGATGAAGTAATGATATTTAAAGAATATCTATTAGAGAGTCTCGGATATTATTTATCGATTTCAAAAATTTTTATTTTTGAGTTTTATAATTGGATAAAATGTAAAATCGAGTCGAGAATATAGTTAACATGTTTGAAAAAAATCCTTTGAGTGTGATCTTCTTAGCCTAACGAATATGTTCAATTAGACAATTCCTGTCCATTTACAGTCAACTATGAGATATTATCTATTAGATCGGTCAAATAATGACAAAATTGTTTTTTTTTATGTTCTTTTCATTCTGTTGGTTTTGTCCGATTGAAAGAGATTATTCAACTTTTGTTTTTTTTTTGTAAAATTCTTCTCCGTTGAAAATAATTCCAAATTGAGCTAATAATTCTTGAATAAGAGTATAAAATATAATCGTCTAATTATTCCTATTTACTTTAAGATGAATAAAGTGTGATCAAATATTGATATAAAACATGTTTGTTTAGGTTACAATGACTTTAATATTATATTTATTTCAATGTTCAATGAAATAAAGAAATAAATAAGCATGAACGACAAAGTCAAGGGGGCTTAGCTCACACGGTAGAGCGCTCGCTTTGCATGCGAGAGGTACCGGGATCGATACCCGGAGCCTCCAGTTTTGTACTCTTTTTCTTTTTAAAATAAACCCATTACTATTATTTAATAGGTAATCCAGCAACTTGTCGACATTTGATCATAGTAGCTCTTAAAATAAATTGTTTTCGTGAAAGTTCTCTAATATGCTAAAATCGAAAAAAAAAAACAAAAAATTTAATCTAAAATAAGAACAAAAACAACCAAACTTTTAAATAATTGTCTAAAGAAATAGATCGTTTTCGAAGTCCATCAGTAAGATAATATAATAAATCTTGAATAGCATGTTCTTCAGCAAAAATTTGAAAAAGTCTTTGAAAAGGAAAAGAAAAAACAAAAAATAATAAAAAACAAAAACGAAAATAACTGAACTTTTTATAAATAGGTGCTGGAAAAATGATAGCATCATTTTCAATTGAATTATCTTTTTTTACAAAAGATTTTTGTGATATTTGATTTGTTTTATTTTGTAAACTAGTTATATAATTCTAAATAAAAATTTGATAAATAAAATAAAAATAAGAAATAATAATATAAACTTTAGTTTGAATTTGTTTTTGTTGAATTTGATTAATTAATGATTGAAGTTTTTTTTCTCCATCATTTAAATATTGTTCAGTTTGTTTTAAAGAATCAATTTCTACTTTTTCAATATCTTTTAATTCATTTAATCGATTTCGAATTTTGTCTAAAACAGCTGTTTTAAGTGATTGATGATAAATATCTTGTGAAATTTCTCCTTGATTTCCTCTGTCTATTCCTGAATATATATTCGAATGTGAATATGATGATATCATTCCCATTGGCATTGGCATTGATGAAATATTTGTTGGATATGGTGTTGTTGGTTGATTAATATTTGAAATTGAATAAACTGGAGGTGATAAACTAAAAGATTGAGACATCGCATTTATTAAATTTGATAAATCACTAGTTGGCTTAAATAAAAAAATATAGATGTTTATTTTTAAATTTAATATAATATTTACATGACGCCATGTTTTCAAATAATTAATTGTAATTGTTCCATCTGATTGAACATCTTTATTAGTTGAAGAAATAAACATATTTGATGTTGGTTTAACTTGAGCTATTGGCGATTTATATGGATGATTTTCATTAAGATTTATTTCAATTGGAATATTATATCGATTTCCTTTATATTCACATAAAACTGTTCCACATAAACAAAGATATTCTTTAGAATTTCCTTTATTTAAATTATATCGATTTAATTTTAATATTAAATTACATTGATATGATTGAAATACTTGAATTATATCTCGACGAACCAAATCACGATTTATACACTAAAATTATTTGATTTTTATTTTAATATGAACTCATTTATCTTACTTGAGATCTTTGAATCATTTGATCGATTTCACTTTGAGATTGCTTTGCCATAATTGATATCGAAACAAGAAACTAATGTAAGAAGTTATTGTTATTGCGTATTTCTACAGTAATGCATCAATATGCCTAAAAAGCAAAGCAAGAGACAATCAATTAGGTCAAGTTATCCAATCAATGAGAAGAAAGAGGTCGCTTGACCATCAGTAACTTTTGATGGATCTTAAGAAGTGAGCCAAACATGTTAATAGTGTTTCCAATGAAAATCCAAAACAAAATGTTTTCTTAAACTTTGAGTATTTGAGCAGAGTGTTTGTTGAAATTTTTGTCATCATCTGATGTGTAACCAGGTCGACAAATCGTGGACTCAGATTCTTTCAGAAATTGTTAGATTCTTTCTCATTGAGTTCTGACAGATAGTTGTCGAATGTGAAATATGACAACGGGAAAGTATTGTAAACATGGAGATTTCGATGAGATCAGGTTGAATTTATATTGGGTACTTGTAATAAGTACCAACATTCACGGACACAGATTCTGAACTGCGTTTTTTATTTTCGACGAAATATTCGTTTGTATTTTGACACGATGAGATCACGATCACCTATCCATAGACGTAATTACTTTGATGCTTTTTATCATGAAAGATTTTCGCACAAAAATCTAGAGAAAAACAGCTATCAACAATTCTTATTTGAGCCTATGAGTTGCATCCTATATGGATCTTCAAGTTTCAATAGGTAGCCAATAGGTTGACTAGAAGTTGATTGCTGAACTAAAGCATGACTATGACTATTGAAAAATCAAGCTAGTTTATTTTCAATCTATTCATATCTTTTGTTCTACTTCGTTCTGGTAGATTCTTATAGACTTGATGATCTCCTAGACTTAGCGCCAGCTCGATCGAGAACATTGAACTCATATGAAACTCGGGAACCATATGGTCGGAATGTATAGTCATCGGAGAGGATCTGAGCTCATTCTTTGATCGATTCGGTTGATCACAAGTGAAGGAATTGTACACAAACCTAGTATAGAATGCAACGATTTTCTATTGCCAAGCTTCGTGTAAAGTTTGAGTGGGTTCATTCTTCAGAGTAATGATCATTTTTTCATATCGTAAATTTAGAATAGACGAGGTGTTCCTTTACAATCGACAAATCCAGCGGCACTTCGGATGGAAGCAAGAAAATGATGGCGAAAAATGGGCATTTGATAGCAAGTAAACCAGTCGAAAAAGTCAATAGCATTTGGAAAATCATGTGGACCATCACATTTGATACGATTCCTAACCTCGCGTAAATGATCTAGACGATCATAGTACTGCGTATTAGTTTCGAACTGAATCAAATGCTCCGAAAAATCGAATATTACTTCGATCAATGAACGAAATTCTCTTTGATTCAGGCCAATTTTCATCAATTGTCGCTCGATGCTCTGTCACACGTGTCGATCACAAAACAGATTAGGAGAATGAGGAAATATGTTTTCGACTGAGCTCTCGGTTGTCTTATCATCATTACACCAAATATAATCAAGCAGTTCTCGTTATGATTCTTCATCGCTTTTGGTAATGAGCCATAGTAGTAAGGCTGTGTCACATCTTGATTTCGAAATGGTGTTCACGAGATTTCAAATGGAATACAATTGAGGTACAATTTTTTTTACTATGAGGTACATCGTTGGGGTGCACAAGCTTTATCTTGAAATATAAACGTTAGTTGGAAAAACTACTAAAATAAAACTTCTTTCATAGAAAACAACATCATATTCTACTTTTTTTTCTGTTAAAAATCAACGTTACAATTCATTATTTCCTAAAATATCAATTTCATAGTTGAATTATAATGTTGCAAACCAATCAGTCTAGAAAAGCTAGTATGTGGTAAGTCAGTATGTACGGAAAGCTTAAGTGATTAAGCTGGAGAACTCTGAGTCGGACCAGCCTTCTATCGAGAGCTACATTTAATAGATGTAAGAAAAATATCGGCCTCTCGAAACTGTTCTCGGACAGCACCCTATACTGCAAGGTAGCCGAAAGACAGGGTATTCTTCTTCTTCTAGTCTAGAAAAAATACAAATATTTACATTTACACATGCTGAATATCGAATCAGCTGGAACAAGATTTTTTTTTTGTAATTACAACAGAAAATAAGTAAAAGATCTAAAATATGCACTATTTCTTAGAAAATACCAAATTAATTCCATCTTGCACATTGTTCTATTTGTAAATCAGATTTTTCTATTCCTAATGGAGGTATTGATTTGATTACTAGACATGACAAACAACTTGGTGGTCATAAACGTTTACCTAAAACTGAAGCTAGAAAAAAATATGAAGTATAACATTGATGTGCAATAACATTGGATAAATTGGTTTCTTTTTGTCATTAAGCATGATTGATGTACGATTTTATTCCCCCATTCAGTGGAAGTCGGCATAGAAAAACGAATATGATTCCAATAGCCTAGACGAATTACAAGTGAATTAAGAAATGTGATTGGTGTCACCACGTGAAAATACCAGTTGCATTTATTGATTCATTTTTAATTCATCTAGTCTGTTTGGGATCTAACTCAAACTAAAATTAAATAAATAAAATGGACGCCAATATTCATTCATTAACTCTTTATCAATACATATCGTTATAAATGCTCCTATAAAAATGAAAGTAACTATCGAAAAATATAACTCATTTCTATTCAAAGATCAGTTTATCGAAACGCAGGCTCAAAACACCTAAATGGAGTATTATACCCCAATATGGGGTATGTATAGCAGCCCTGGACTGAAATCTTTTAAAATAAATTTTTATTTCAAAATCATTTTTCGATCGAGATTTGAAATCAATCTGTTTGAATTTATTTGCTCAATAAATAATTTATTTTTTATCTTAAGAAAATTTTTTTTTGTCTTTTATCATTTATAATACAATAAATATCCTAGTGAAATATATCAATTGAATTCATTTAAATCAATATGAAGTTTTAAAAAAACCTTTTTTGAGGATTAATTTTTTTTTCATAATTAAATATTTTTTAGATTATTATTTAACGAATTATTATTAATAAATAAGACTTCTGATAGATTATAAATATTAAAAATGTAATTTAGTCTCGAATAAAAATTTAATTTTTGTTAACTAATCGTTTATTCCGAAAAGAATTATTTATTGAATATTCTTCTTTGGAAAATTATTTTTATTAATATAAATAGAATAAAACTTTTATTTTATTTCTTTTAATTAAATTAATTTATATTTGATTGTTTATTTCAAATTAAAATGAAAATATTTATAAGAGATTTATTTTTATTTTAACAATCGACATAGAAAAGTTTATTGAAATTGAAATGTCGAAGAAAATATTTATTGGAGAAAATTTTTTTAAAAATAACCATAATCGAGATAATTATTTGAAAAAGAGAGATATTCTCTGTTACAAATAAATGTAAATCTTTTTATTTGATTTTCAATTAGTTAAATATAAATCTGAAAAGAAAATCTCACATCATATATGAAATTTTCAAGAAAAACAAACGAGAAAATAATTCAATTTATATATTGTTAGGAAAGAAAAACGATGTAGCTAATTCAAAAGCACCAAAAAAAACAAAACCTCCAACTGATATCCACATTGTCCGAGGAATAACACCACTGTATAAACTAAATTCAATAAACCAATTTTTCTTTCTTATAAAAAAAAAGCATAAAAAGAACTAACGCTGTAAAACCTTCTTGTTTGAAAATATTTTTAATAATTTTCAAAGGATGAGAAGCTGCATCAACATCGGAATGCTAAAAAAAATTAAATTAAATGAAATTAATTAATTAAAACAAATCTTTTTCATATTTACATGAGCAAGAATTATTCGAGTCTTAGCAACATCTAAATATTAAATTCATTCGGTTTTTTATAACACAAAAAAGAGCAAAATTAACCAAATGGAGTTGTAATAGATGCTGCTATTCCACCAGCTAGAGATCCACATAATGCTCCTTGCCATGGAGATACCGAATAACCTTGTTTAGAACTCCAATGTCTCTTTTAGTTTTTTTCAAAAAGAAACATAAAAAGAATAAAAAAAGCAAATAAACAAACAAACTTTAAATAATTCCCATAGTGGAAATTGGATAACTGAAAAAGGAATTTCTCGTGATAGAGTTGCAAAATATCCTCGATAAAGACCTAATAAACCCTTTGAAAAAAAATTCATTAGATTTATTTTAAATTAAAACCAAACTAAAAATACAAACTTCATGATGAAGACATGATTTGACGATTGTTAATAAACGTAAATCTCTATTAACTTGTGCTCGTTGTTTAATAACTTCAACAGGAACACGTATAAGACATGCACTCTAAATATTCGACTTTCGAAAAGAATTTATTTCTAAATATATTTTTAATTCTAATACAATTTCTCCAAAAGCAGCTGCAATCATATGAGTTTTCCATTGAGATGATATAGGCACTGTTTGTTTTGTTAAATTATAAGCAAGAAAAAATAAAGCTGATGATGGACCACTGCCAATTAATACAGAACCAACACCAGAATATAATGATGAAAATAATATTCGTTTATTTAAACTTTTTTTTTCTTGAAGACGAGTTTTTATTGTATCTATTGGATATAATGATAAATCAACTGCACATCCAGCTATTGATCCAGCCTAAGACAAGTCTTTTATAGAAAGTATTTTTTTTTAATAGCCAATTAGACAAACCACTAATGAATGTTCAATTGTTCGAATAAAATCAATTTCTGTCATGTTTATTTATCTTTAAATAAAAAGATTTTTCTATGATGATTTTCTTTTTTTTTCGAATAATAACTACAATAAACACCAGTCGGAATCAATGTCTGATTATATTTTTTTTATATTAAAAAATACTTCCGAAATAAATCAATCAATGATTATAAATCTATAAATAAGGAAATCAATATCGAGTTTTAAATCCATTAATACACTTGGCGTCCTATTCATATAGAATCAATCGATTTTAATTAAATATCATGTTCATCGATCATATTTACTATAAATATTTGTAATTAACTCGAAAAAGGAACTTTATTTTAGTGATATATCCTCTTTGGATTTTTTCCTCTCAAATCATATATGTTCTTGTCTAGTGACATCTTTTTATTAAAAAATCATTTTTTTTATAGAAATAAATTCTGTTGAAAAAGTGAATTCTTATCTATGATAAAATATTTATTAATAATATTTCGATAAAAAATAAATGTCAACTGTGTAACTACATTGAACATTTATTAGTATTTGTCGTCATATCGTCGTCAGACCAAACATTATTTTATCAGATAACGTTACCTACTCATTGAAAAAAAAATTTGATTTAATTTTATTAAACAAAGTTTTATTTCTGATCGTTTAAAACAGATAAAAGATTTGATGCTTAACGTGAGATTAGATTTATTCATAAAAAAACAAAATAAACAAGATGAATTAACTATAGAAACTAAATTATATTGAATTGATACAAAATAAATAAACTTCTTATTAATTTCTTTTAGAAGTTAATTAAATATATAAGAGAAAAATGAATAGAAATATCATTTGAAAATTGATGTATTTCATTAACAATAATCAATTAAATAAAGAAATTATTTCGATACGATCTCTGTATACTATAAAAAATATATCTTTTTATCAATTGATATAATAAGATCAATTTTTTTTTTTATGATTCAAAATTTTGTTGTTTTCATTTATCTCCTTATAAATAAACAAGTTAGGATTTCAAAAAGTTGAAAAAGAAAGCGAAAAATCTTTGAAATTTTATTCAGTTAACTGGCTATATGAATAATCAGGTTAACATTTAAACGATTATTCATTCATTATTTTATATAAAACATTGTAGAAATATGTTTTGTCTATTAAACTGTTTACTATTAGAATATTTTTGTTTTCATCTTATCAAATTCTTTTTTCTTATTTATTAAAATAAATTTTCGATGTTTTTCAATTGAATAAAGAAATAAGATTTCAAAAAAACTTTATGCGATTTATGTCAAAGAGAAAAACATAGAAATGATCAATCACATAAATAACTGAATGAAATGATAAATGATCTTATAGTTAATTATTAAATATTATTTAAGTAGAGAACCTACATTGATTTATCTTTATTAATTCGGATTACATTAAAGTTAACGTCTATCATATTGTCTTATTTGTCTGTTAAAATAAATATTACCAAATTTTCCTAAGAAACTTTTTTCGAACTCTTATGTTTTTTATACTATTGAAAAAATATTGAAAATTAATCTTAGTAAATAAAAACGAATGTTTATATTAATATTAATATATTTTCTATGAAAAATATTAATTGATTGTTGAATCGATTGATAGATGATTATTTAATTATAAATGAGACGATTATATATCGGATACATATGATTTTGTTTATTGACATAAAACAATTCGAATATCGATAATTGAATAAAAAAATAATTTTGATCAATTTTCAAATAACTCTTTTAATATTTGTTCTTCTATTTGGAAATATTCATTAGAAATACTTTTCATTTAATTTTTTTAAAATTTATACAAAGCATTTCTACTTAGAAGTCTATCGTAATATATATTCTTTTTTTGTTTGAATTTATTTAAATTTGTTTGTCGAAATTTTATTCTAAATAGTATTCTATGTCTATTTTTATTTATTCTTGTAATAAAAACAAAACTCATTATTTAAAGAGATTTAAAAAAAAATGGTCTTCATTATTAATTGTTGATAATAAACAAGTGAAACTAATAAACAATAAATTCATCGAGAAAAAATAAAGATTTCTTTGGTTTGTATATAAAAATTAAATTCTATTATCGATATTTAATTAATTAATTATTCATCATCAATATTGCTTGATAATAATTGAGGAAGAAGTTGTGCAGCAGGACCATGAAAATGATAACTAATAAGAACAAGAGAAAAAAAAAACAAATAATCGAAATGATATTTAAAAAAAACAGCGAAATACGTTGCAATAGAAGTTGAAGGCGTTGTTTCAATATTAACTTCAGCAATAGGAATATTTTTTTGAGAAAGAATCGATGCATAACCAGCTGCTGGATAAACAACCGATGATGTTCCAACCTTTATTAATTTTGAAATAAATCAATATAAAATAAGAGAAAATTCAACATACAACTAGAAATAAATCACATAATTGAATTTCTTTTTCAATTTTTTCTAAAACATCATCCCAAATTTGTTCACCAAACCAAACAATATGAGGACGAACAAGAGATTTACATTTTCTACAACAAGGAAGATCTTTTTCATTAATATCAGGACCATTCTCAGCTGGTGATCTAAATAAATTATATTTATATTTAAATTATTTAGAAATAAATAAACCCTCGATTTCTTAATGATTCACAAATGGGACTTGAATTATTTTCTTCAGTGAAACCACATGAAGTACATCGAGTCATAAAGAGATTTCCTGATGTTTTTTTTAAATAATAAATTATAGTTATGTTTTATTAAGATTAAAATAAATAAAATTCACCATGCATTTCAATTAAATTTTTTGTTCCTGCTCTACGATGAAGTCCTAAATAAAATAAAATAAAATAAAAATAAAAATAGTCTTTAAAAAAAAACGAACCATCAACATTTTGTGTAATAACATTAAATCTTTTTCCTTGTTTTTCAAATTTTGCTTCAGCTTGAGCTATTGCAATATGAGCCTATTTGTTAAAGAAATTATTTAAGTTTAAACAAACGTAATAAAAAAAAACCTTATTTGGTTGTTTTGTTCTGACAAGTTCTCGACGATAATGATAAAATTCCCAAACAAGAGAAGGTGAACGTGAAAAGGCTGCTGGTGTTGCTAAATCCTTTTTTATTTCGATTTAAAAAAAGTGAAAAGAAAATTTGTTTATTAAATAATTGAATATGTTTATTAATAAACCGTAACACGAAATTGTCTCCAAAGCCCTCCAGCTCCACGAAATGTTGGAACACCAGATTCAGCTGATATTCCTGCACCGGTTAATACAAGAACGGAATGAGCACGAGACAATAAACGACGAAATTCAGCTATTTTTCCAGTCGTCTAAATAAAGTATTTTGATTTATTTAATTAATATTCATTCATTTAACAGACGGTTGAAGCCATTTTGGTTATTAAATCTAAAATAAATATAAATTATCTTTATTCATCATTTTAAGAATTCTTTTTTTGAAGCATATATCAAAATATTCTCAATGAATTACTTGAAAAATTAAAATCGATTTTGAATTGTTTAAAAATTGATTTACTTAAACAAGATAAAACAATATTAATTTTATTCTTATTTATAGAAATAATCAATTTTGTTTATTCTACTGGTTTTTTTTTTAAATTCAAAACTGTCTCGAAATAAATCTTATTGATGAGTATCCGGAGCTCACCAAGACTGACACGTAGGAGAAGAATCGACCCTCGATGCGGAGATTAGTGACAAGAAAAAGCGAAGAAAATTGTTGAGTTTCGTTGGGTAAAACGAAAAATTTCGAAGGTTATGAGTAGAAAGATACCCTTCATTTTATTCAATATTTATTTATTAATAATAATAAACATTGTCAAAATTATTTTTTATGTAAAAATTCTTTTATTGATTTAGGAGATTTTTTTTCAAATAGTGATTCGATAGAATAAATCTAAATAGATATATTAATAATTATGGAAGAAAAAAAAACTCAAGAATAAACTTTGCTATGAGATATTTAATCTACATATAAAAAAGAAACAAAGAAAATTTGATTGGTTCGTTTGAATTCTATCGAATCTATTCTTATCATGTCATATTGAATATATAAATAATAATAAAGATAGAAAAAGAAAAGGTTATTAAATATCGATTTTAATAAATCTATTGGAATCTTTTCAAATGTTAATTTTTTTCTTGTTTGCCTTCGATATTGATTTGTCTCAGTTAAATCAAATAAAATAAATCAACATTTTGAAAATAAATATCTGTTTTAAAAATTTATAAAAGTCTTAATTTAAAAAAATAATTGATGAATTAGATTTATTTTTCAATAATTATTTCATTTGAAAATCTTCAAATCTTATATTTGTTTAAGAAGATTTACAATTTTTATCTGAAACAATATTTTATTGTATTCTTTATTTAGATATCGAAAAGAAAAAAAAATTTTTATTCATAGATAAATATTCTCAATGAAATTCTGGTAAAAAATAATTATTTGAGAATTTAATTACACAAAAATAAAATAAAATTTGACATTTATTCTTAAATGATATACAAAAAAAAATACTTTTAAAACTATTAAACAATATATATATCATCTGAACAATTTATATAAAAATAAATAATAGTTTTTTTTCAATCATCGATATATATTATCATTGAAAATAAACATTTTATTTAATTTTACATACGTCTTTTTTAGTTCCGAAATAAATATGTCGAACATCCATTGGTTTTTGTTTTGTTCTCTCTTTTTTTTTTGAATAAGATATAATATAGTGCTAGATGTCAAAAAAAAGATAGAAGATCTTGCCAATATTTGTCTTTTGTTTGTTTGAGTTGGATTTAATTATATAGATTGTTTAGTTATTCAATAAACAAATTATTTAATAATTATTTAATAAAATCGAATGATTGGTTTATTTATGAGAACGAATTAAAAATTGCAATAAAACTTTCTTATTTATTTATTATCTTTTATATGAACTATCGATTTTAAATTAAATTTATTAATATATATGGGCGTGGCCAACGGTATGAGACCCCACAGTCGATTTATTCATCTATGCATTAGAAAAATCTGATTTTTTTACCAATTATACTACATGTATATTGCTATTGATCTATCACTATTTGAAATCTATATATCACTAGAAATGAGAATTAATAAGTATATCTTTGTATTTATTGTGCT